GCAGAAGCTCCCCACATCTCAACCCTATAGAGGAGTTCTTTTCCTTATTGAAGTGGAAAGTTCATGACCACCAGCCACATAATCAGATACCCCTCTGATACGGGTCTGAATTATGGATGTCTGGACATATCTGCAGAAGGTTGCCAGGGATTTGTCAGGCCTGCTTAGAGGTTTTACAAGAGGTGTGATGTGGATGCCAAATTGTGGCCAAATGCAGAAGAAAGGGTAGAGAAGTATTGCTCTATTTCTACATCTGTAGCTGTCCTCTGTAAGAATTAGTAACTTCAGGTTTATTCATGTGTAAAACTGGCAGACAAAGCCCCCTAAAGCATGTTGCAGCATTTCTATGACATTCTACATGGTAGCAATGTCCATGGAATAAAGAACCTTTGTGTTTTCGTGGAATCATGATTCTTGAGAAATGTATGCAGGGTGTCCGCGGGGTCTTAAAAAGTATTAAAAGTTGATCAATCAATTTAGCGAAAATTAAGGGTATTAAAGGGCATTTTCCAAGGTATTACATTTTGTAGCTTGTTTTCAATAAGTATATCAATGGTCCAAAGAGGTTGTATTCTACAGTCTGCCTGAATGTAATCATTGCGTAGGTGTGTAGTGTGATTCTGTGTCGTTTATTTATGGCATCCCGTTGGGTTTGACGTCATCTGAACAGGACATCGCACGCTCACTGCTTGATAGCGCACAAAGGTCCGTTTACGCCGGTTGTTAAACAACATCGTTATGGGGAAATGCAAGTTTGCGTCCAAACGGTTGGAAGATAAGGAGGAAGGACAATTAATACTGTACATAGTAAATGTGAGGTAAAGTGTGTAACCGGTTAAAACTCCAAGTGGCGATGAGGTCTTAAAAGGTATTGCATTTGACTTCAGGATTCCTGCATATACCCTGGTATAAAAGAGGCTACAAAGACAACCGTGATGCTACCTATTGTTAGTGTTTATGGTTGCAGTAGTTTTGGACGTTTGAAGTGTTGTGCTGAGCTGCATGTCATTAAAGAGTTTTAACTTTCTTGTTTACTTCACAGAAATATCTGTTACCAATTGGAGAAAAAAAAAGCAAGTGCCGCTATCAGACGGTTCTGCTGTAGAACAAAAGAGTTTAAAAGGGGAAAGGCGGGGCATAATGGGCACTTCTGCAAGATCTCACCCCGTGGGGTCAAAATGATCACAAGAACGGTGAGCAAAAATCCCAGAACCACACGGGGGGACCTAGTCAATGACCTGCAGAGCTGGGACCAAAGTAACAAAGGCTACCATTAGTAACACACTATGCCGCCAGGGACTCAAATCCTGCAGTGCCAGACGTGTCCCCCTGCTTAAGCCAATACATGTCCAGGCCCGTCTGAAGTTTGCTAGAGAGCATTTAGATGATCCAGAAGAGGATTGGGAGAATGTCATATGGTCAGATGTAGTGTTAATTTCGTCAGCTATTTTTTTATTTTGTTTTAGTCTTAGTCCTGTGTTAAATTTCCTTTTTAGTTTTAGTCATATTTAGTCACCTTCATCCTGTTTTTATTTAGTCAAGTTTTAGTCGACTAAAACAGTAACTATTTTAGTCACGATTTAGTCGACTAAAAGTCTGAGCATTTTAGTCATATTTTAGTCAAAGAAAACTAATTATTTTAGTCGACTTTTTGTCAATGAAAACTGTTGAGTCTTTTTTAGTCATCAGATTATATAGAACATTTCAGTCAAACTAGCCAAAACCAATAATTTGTCATTTTAGTATATATAAATAAATAGGATTATATCTTGTCCTTATTTGATGAAAAACACAGGTTGAATGATTAAGAATGAAGCTTTGCAGAGAGTATCTGCTCAGGTTTGTGGTGTTTTTACCAGCTGTGTTATGGCCACATTGCTTCCCTTCTGATAAAACAATGCATTCGCTTTTTTTCTCCGCCTCATTGAAGCGAAAATGGGCCCAAATATCACATCGTTTCTTTCTCCCAAGCAGTGGTGGCTTTAGACTTTTTCGTTGTCAGTCATTTTGACGGACAGGATTGTAACATTTCCGTCATAATCCATTATTACCCGTCGAGTGCACAATGTATCACTCACTCGCGCTGATGGGGGGGGGTATTCGGTTAACGCGAGTGCGACCACTGCTCCCAAGCCCTGTTGTTGCCATTTTATTTTCTGTTAAATAAGGTTAGTTAGACCATGAGTTAGACCCGAGTCTTCCTGACAGTTCACAGTGTACCGCTGCCCAGTGTAATTCAAATGTACCGCCGCGCGCAGCACCGACACACAGCTGCTGCCCTGCCGCAGCACCGGAAATGGAACTGCTGGGAGAAAAACTGACTGATCAGAAATGTAACGTTATCTTTGATAATATTTCGTCTCCTCATTTTTCGTCAACGAAAGTAAAGAGAGATTTTGGCTAAGTTTTTATTGAATTAAACTACATTTTCGTCTCGTCACTTTTCGTCAACGATATTGCATGATGATTTTGTTGCAGTTATTGTTTACTATCGTCTCGTTTTCGTCATGGGAAAAAAGGTCGTTGACGAACATATTTCGTCATAGTTTTAGTCAACGAAATGAACACTAGTCAGATGAAACCAAAATAGAACTTTTTGGTAAAAACTAAACTAGACGTGTTTGGAGGAGAAAGAATGCTGAGTTGCATCCAAAGAACACCATACCTACTGTGAAACATGGGGGGGGGGAACATCATGCTTTGGGGCTGTTTTTCTGCAAAGGGACCAGGACGACTGATCCGTGTAAAGGAAAGAATGAATGGGGCCATGTATCGTGAGATTTTGAGTGACAACCTCCTTCATCAGCAAGGGCATTGAAGATGAAACGTGGCTGGGTCTTTCAGCATGACAATGATCCCAAACACACCGCCCGGGCAACGAAGGAGTGGCTTCGTAAGAAGCATTTCAAGGTCCTGGAGTGGCCTAGCCAGTCTCCAGATCTCAACCCCATAGAAAATATTTGGAGGGAGTTGAAAGTCCGTGTTGCCCAGCGACAGCCCCAAAACATCACTGCTCTAGAGGAGATCTGCATGGAGGAATGGGCCAAAATACCAGCAACAGTGTGTGAAAACCTTGTGAAGACTTACAGAAAACGTTTGACCTCTGTCATTGCCAACATAGGGTATATAACAAAGTATTGAGATGAACTTTTGTTATTGACCACTTATTTTCCACCATAATTTGCAAATAAATTCTTTAAAAATCAGACAATGTGATTTTCTGGATTTATTTTTTTTTATTTTTCTTTCTCATTTTGTCTCTCATAGTTGAGGTATACCTTAGATGAAAATTACAGGCCTCTCTCATCTTTTTAAGTGGGAGAACTTGCACAATTGGTGGCTGACTAAATACTTTTTTGCCCCTCTGTATCCAATAATAGCAAAGGGCTTTCATGGTACCAGCAGAAAGTATCGGTATGTACTGTATGGCACTAATTGCTTGTTTTTGAAAAAGGACTCTCCAGAACACTCCTACCCTTCCCCTGTCAACAATAAGTGCTGATCGCGTGCAACAGAGAGGACATGAGGCGGGGGGGGGGGGAGCTTAAACAAAGCTGCAGTTGTTATGCTTTATCTGCAGTTGGCATGGTGCTCCAAAGAGGAACTGGAATAAGCTGATAACCAGTTAATGACAGCTGTCAGTCTCGGGTCTAGCAAGACACATATTTTAAAACATTCAGTCAGAGCTTTTAGAAACCAGCCGATTTAATAACGTCTGTTGCTGTGGTATATTCAACTTAAGCCTACACGTTGAATTGTTTCCAATGCAGTTATATTACTATATAAAGGAGCATACAGCGGTTGAACATTATATTTATATATAGATTTGCAGTGTAGGGCTTCAATCAGAACCAGAATTTCTTCATCCGTCCCACAGAGGGAACCTTTACATTGTTAAAGCAAAAGTGTAGATAGAGACAAAAACGCTATTAAATAAAAGGCATGAATACACTTTTACAAATTCAAATTAAACAATACAATTCTACAAAGCACACATATAAGATGGAGAAAGATAACGAGCAGTAGAAAGAAAGTCATGTGTAAAATGTAGAAAGTCGTGTTGTAGCAGCCAGATAACGGCCGTAAAAGAAAAAGTATATGTTGCGTTATTTACAGATTTCTGTTACTTTATTAACCCTTAGACGCATAAGTGGGTCTTTTTGGACCCGGTGAGGTGGTTTTCTTGAAGTATCTTTGTAATTAAAAAAATTGTATCATTTCATATTCCGGCTATTCCTCAAAAAACATGTTTTGGATATCATGCCATTCAAATATTTAATTTACATTTTAAGAAATTGTAGTTTTTGTATTACTACCCCAAGCTTCCATAAGTGGGTCAAAAATGACCCGCATGCTCTTTCTATGGCATCCTATGGGAAAACGTTTTTTTTCAAAATGTAAAATAAACGTCTAAAATTATAAATAGTGAAAAATTAAACATAAAATATTTCTATTGTGAACCAAAATATAATACTAAATATTATACAAGTGATTTTTCTTAATCAAAATGACAAAAATGGCATAAAAACATATTATTCTAATACGGGTCCTTTTTGACCCACTTATGGAAGAGTGTAGGGTCCAGTCACTCGGGCATCTAAGGGTTGAATAATCTAACTAAGAATTAGCAGCCAGTATTACAAATAATTAACGATTATTTTCAATATGGTTAACTGTCACTCTTTTTTAGTGAAAGCTCCCAAGCCCACATTGACGCCCTCAAATTGCTGAAATGGATAATGCTTGCCATTTTTGTATATATAATGATTCAATATGTATCTTGATACCAAGGCCGTGATCGGTCTGGCTTGTATGAAACATAGACAAATGTGCTGAGGTAATTGCCTATTGCCATTTTCTTTACTTGTATTGAGAAACTAATTCTCTACAAAATATCTAGGTTTTTAAACATTTAAAAAGCCTGTAATTTATTCTCAGAATTTCCTATGATTTTGCGAATAAATCCTAAACATCTGCTTCCTTTTCTCTGTCATTTGCAGTTGGTTCAAGATGGTGGACAAGAGTGGAAAAGAGGACAAGGCGCGAGGGGAGGTGCTGCTAGATATCCAATTTATGAGGAACAACATGTCAGCCAGCATGTTTGACCTTTCTATGCAGGACAAACCGCGCTCTCGCATCTCCAAGCTGAAGGACAAAGTCCGTGGGAAGAAGAAAGATGGTTTCTCCGACTCTGCTTCAGCTATTGTTCCCTCTGTCAGCAATGTCCTCACAGACAGCGAGGGCGAGGCTGACGCACAGTCACTCAACCAGTCTCCTGGAGTTAAAAAGAAATCAAGGCTCAAAACTCTTTTTGCTCCCAAATCAAACTTGCAGAAAAACATGTCACAGTCCATGTCCACACTGGGGACTCTTCCAGAGAAGAATTCATCTCTCAGCAGCAGCCGCTCATCCGGCCTCAATGTTGACTCTCCTGATGGTAACTTCATCTTTCTATGCTCTGTGTTATGGCGCATTTCCACTACAGGGCCTCGCTCGGTATGGCTAGGCCTTGTTAGGACTAGCTCACTTTATGCTGCGTTTCCATTACAGTTTAGTAGCTGGGGCAGTAACTATAGTAACGCAGTGTAGGCGGAGCCGTGACGTCATCTTCAATGAGAACCCCAGAAAAACAACATCAGCCGTTAGCTCTTAGCACTCAGAGCTCACAGCTCTTCATATCTGTTCAGAAACTAGACAAAAGTTAAACAAGTACAAACCACAGACTGCCTGTGTCATGGCGAATACAGTCGCTGGCTTATTTATGTCTGTAGGCCGTTGTTGTGAGTGTGGACGGTCGGAGCATATACAACGTTAGCTTAGCCGATCACCATTTAGAAAACACGCATTTTAAAAGATTTTTCGTCTGTCTGCAGACTTGTCAAAGCATTAATTCATGGTTTTTACTAACCGGTATCAGTATGTTGTTACTTCGGCATCATTTTGAAACGTGTATTACAATTAAATCACGGTCAAATATGTTCATTTTGTTGTAGTTGTAGCCCCCTTGCCAGCGATTCTCTCTCTAGTTTAGCATACTCAGCCTGGTTGTTGGTCCGGAAAGAACCTCGATTTTTTTGGGTCCAGAAAACTGTGAAATAGTACCCGCTAGCCGGTACTATGCCTAGTGGAAACGCAACCAAAAACTGTCCGGACACGGCTCGGCACGCTTAAAGCGAGCTCCACGCTGTAGTGGAAATGCGCCATTAGGGCTGCTCAATTTATTGTATTTTAATCGCAATTACGATTTTGGCTCGCAACGATTATCAAAACAACATAATCGAGAGAAAACGATTATTTATTTACATTTTTTTTTATTTAAACTTTTATTTTTTTGGTTTTTCAGTTGAATTATAGTTAAAGTTCAGGGTAATCAACTGTTAAAAACATACTGTTCAAATTCTTTTTTTCAATAAATTGATATTTTCAAAGTAAATGGATAATCGTTTTTAATAATCGTGATATCAATTATTGACCCAAATAATCGAGATTATGATTTTTGCCATAATCGAGCAGCCCTACTCTGTGTTTACTGTATGTTGACATTCTTTCCCGTCCTGCACACTGCAAGTTAAACAATGTTTTGCATGTCAATAAGGACCATGTTTTCTTGTCTCCCTCCCACAGTCAAAAGGAAATTCAAATTCCTGGGACACAAGCGGACAGGCAGCTCCGACAGCAAGGTGTCTCAGGGTGCTTTCTCCCTCCTGGGTCGCCACAAGCACAGCAACAGTGACATAAACAGCACGTGCATCAACGGCAACCATGTGTACGCCGAGGACGAAGAGCCCAAGAGTGGATCCACTCTCAGTCTAAACAGCTCAGGACAAGGATCTGTAGAGGATGTCAGCAAACACACCACGGAAGTCCCTGTAGATGCCTTTGTAAGTGTCCCCTCCTATAAGCAAGAGTCAGACCAGAAGGCAAGCCTGGAGCAACAACGCCACCAAGAGGAGGAGGGGAGAAGGGAAGCAGAGGAGAGGCGCATAGCAGAGGCCAAGAGGCTGGTGGAAGAGGAGAAATACAAGATACAGCTCAAGAGACTGAAGGAGGAAGAGGATCTCAGAGTGCAAGAGGAACAGGAGAGGAAGAGACGCTTCCTCGAGGATGAAGCGAGGAGGAAGGAGGACGAAGAGAGGAAGAAGCAAGAGGAAGCAGCTGAAGTACAGAAGCTCGAAGATGAGCGTCGCAAAATCGAAGAGCAGAAACGTCAGGAGGACGCATCCATGAGCGACCGCCTGTCGTCTCTGTTCGGAATGATCAGAAAGAAGGAGGAGAAGAAGGAAGAGCCACAAACTAAAGAAGAGTTTCCAACAAAATCCCCTCGCAGCATCTCAGAAGATCCCGAGCAACCGACCTCCCATCGCTCCAGCAACCCCTTTGAGGACATTTCCCTCAGTCCAGATCAAGCACTAAATGGAAGCCCAGCTGATCCTCAGAAATCCAGCCGCACCCCACAAGGCCCCTCTGCCATGACCTTCCTCAACCGCTCCGCAAAAGTGTCTGCAGTCAAACCCAGGTACGCCTTCTCCTCAAGTTACTCTGCACTAATGTCATGTACTTATGTTTACGTGTCATGACCCTAAGAATGACATTATTTGCCTGTAGTCATACTATCCTTTCACTTGCATGACTGGAATGCCATCAATAGGCCTGCAGGGGTAACTGCACATACTGTCGTCTTTTTGTTAGGGCTGCTCGATTATGGCAAAAATCATAATCTCGATTATTTGGGTCAATAATTGATATCACGATTATTTAAACGATTATCCATTTACTTTGAAAACATCAATTTATTGGAGAAAAACAATTTGAACAGTATGTTTTTAACAGTTGATTACCCTGAACTTTAAGTATAATTCAACTGAAAAACCAATACAAAAAAATGTAATAAAAAAAAAAAATCGTTTTATTTCGATTACGTTGTTTTCGTAATCGTTGCAAGCCGTAATTGGGATTTAAAATAAGATTAATTGAGCAGCCCTACTTTTTGTTGGAACGTACATTCTATTTTACAAAAAACAATAGGTTTATTTTTTCTTCTTTGGCATCTTTTGAAAATGCTATTTAGGAAGAAAACACTTGTTTTCAGTCATTACGACACCGTGTTTGTCAACGCTGAAACTTGGATATTTCACAAGTTTCTGTGTTGTTTCTGTTGACTGCGCCTTGAATGACCAAAATGTTGAGTTCCAATGAAGCGGTTGATGGACCAGTTGGACCAGTTTGCTCTTGGTTGAGATGAGAATCTGGGAGTGGCTTGTGTTTAAGGGTTTTGTGGAACAGGTTCTGGACTGAGCAGAGCTCTGAGGAGTCACTATGCTGCAGTGTTACCTTCTTTGTGGATGTCTTGTGTGATAGAGTTATTTTTTATTTATTTTTTTTCTACATTGTTTGTGGACTGGATCTTTTATTCTTGAGTCATGATGGTAAGGGGCTTATGTTTGCTATTGTAATTGATGTTACGGAAGTAAACAAATGTTGCTAGATTGTAGATAACCTAGGCATTTCAAGTTGTTTGTGTTATTAAGTTGTAATCTTTATTGTGCAACATTTGATGCCGTGTTTGAATACCTAGTATAATTTCAGTGGCATAGTCTTTAAGTAAAAATGTAACATCGTAGTATTTTTATAATGGGCTGTTAAAATGTCTCATTGAGCAAGTCAAAGCTAAAAATAGAAACTGCAAGACACGGAAACTAGATGTTCAGTCTGTGAAATGATTTATTTATCTTTACTGGCAGCTTTGTCTAGTGCAGATTTAAGATAAGGAGATGCAAAGTGTACTGGCTGCATTTTCTAGGTTGTGAAATGCTAGTTGGGTTGGTGACGGGTTGTACATTGGTGAAATTACTTTAGGTAATGTGATGGTCAAACTGACCTGTAGGCCTTTTGCTTTCACTCCTTGGCAGATTTACTCCATCTCTTGAGTCTGAACCTGCCGATTGCCAAACCCCCAGTCAGCTGTGTCCTTCCCCAGAAACCTCTGACACCAGCCTCTCTAGTGTCCCGTCTGAGTGTTCTGATACGTTCTCCAGTCTCCACTCATCCTTGGCTCCACCGAACATAAGCCAAAGCCCGTCCGGTTCTCCTCTGGGCAGCGTAGAGGATTTGTCTTCTGTTGGATCTTCACCAACCATGGCAGATAAGAAAAGAAGGGCCCCTGGGACCCCCTCGTACTCAGGACATGGGAGCCTTAATGGTGGAAATACCGCTCCTGTCAGAGAGATCACAAACCCTGCATACGTAGAGGCGGAGACGCAGCAAGGTGGAAAAGTATCCATACCACTTCCTGATTATGAAAGCCTATTCCCTCAGAAGAGACACGGAGTGCAAGGGCACACTCGATGGGACCATCTGATCGCTGAGGTCAATCAGAAACACAGGGACAGTTCAGAGATGAGTGTGGATGGTCCGGAGGAACAGCGACCCAGTGTAAAGGCTTCAGTCCCTCAGGAGAGCGCTGCAAGTAGGTATTTTCAATCCCGATCTCAGGATATCAAATCTATCTCATCAAAAAAAGCAGCTGCCCCAGCTCCCCCTAAATCAAGTGCACCTCCACAACCTCGATCAGTTGCAGATTCTCCTCAGAGTCAGAGTACCGCTCAGCAATATCCCATGAGGCACAATCTGCCTGCAGTCCCAGAACCTGTGAGCACAAACAGAGAAAGTCCCTCAGGGGTGTCCAGGGATGGACCAAGGAAGGCGTTGCTCCCATCAACTGCTGCAACACATGCACCCAGGCCAACCAGCCAAATGGACTCGCACGCACCATTAAACGATCAAAGACAAGTCGGTGTGAACAAAGAGATCCCCACAGCCAAACCCAGACAGAGGACTAGTGGAAGAGACTCCGTGCTGCAAGAAGATTCTGCTGCGACACCAGTGGTCTCAGACAAACATTTGAAGAGTAACCTTCAAACATCATCTCGTTCAAGTATGAGCAACGTGGATACAAAAGGCAGGCAAGCAACGGAGAAATTGGACTTTGACCCATTCCCCAGTACTGATCTTATTTCCAAAGACCCGTGGGCTCCGCCAAAGGGACACCAAAAAGAAGACCTTTTCACCAGCAGTGTTCAAAAAGAGTCCAAAGTTGAAGATTTGGGAATGACACCAGACGATCTTGATTCAATGTTTGGTCAAGAGAAACTTTCCGATCCATTTGCTGACTTTAACGGCAGTGGTTCAAACAAATACAGTGAGGTCATTGAACAAGTAGAAGATCCAAAGCAAGTCAATCCTGCTTTCCAGAGAAATAATTCGAACAGAGGAAGACGAACACCTCCGTCCACCACTCTCTCTGCTGATAGGTCTTCCAAGTCTCTACAAGAACCCGCATATAAAGAAGTAACCACAGCGAACAAAGCCCCCTCTGCGAGAGGTGTCAGGAAAGAGTCTATCACACCGACGCCTTCAGCTGATGCCAATACACAAAACACATTTTATGGAGGAGAAGATCAATTTGGAGCTGAACCGTTTGCCTCTGTGTTGAATACCTCAGAACCCCTCGAGGTGGTTATGGAGGAGCCGTCGTCTCAGGCAGAGGATTTGTCTGGGGGAAAGGCACCTTTGAGAGCATGGGTCTCCCCATCTGATGTTCAGTCTGTCAGTGCTCAGAATAGCAATGGAGGTGGGCTAGCTTTAACTCCACGCAGGTGAGATTCAAAAGGATGCTTTAAAAGAATACAATTGTGGACTTTTTATCTGGATTTTGCATAATGACATCTGGCTGTTGTTTGGGGAGGCAGATAGGGTGTTGGGATTTACCTTGGGTGATTTTGAAGGCTTGTGATTTCTAGGTCCTTATTTTTCTTCTGAATATTGCTCTTGGATGACAGTGGGATGATTTGGAATCATATGTTTCATCTTTTTGTATCCATCTTTTTATCCTTTGAAGTTTTTGTGGATATTGTTGAACTTACTCACAATAATCGATGTGCTTTCTTTACAGGCCTCATCCTGTGAAACCTATGAACTTGGAGAGCCAGCAATCCATCAGCACCCCCGCTGTGAAAGATATAAATATCCGTGACAGCACAGCAGGGAAGACTCAGGTAATGTTTTGTTGATATCCTGATGGATAGAAAGATTCTTGATTGTCCCTTCTTTTGAAACCACATTATGAACTGGAAAAAAAACAGCAAAAATATTTGTAGACATATCTCCTCTCAGCAAGTTGATTGGATTTTCTGAAGGACACATTTCATAACCTCTCTTTTCATTTTCTAACATCATTTACATTACACACATTTACAAGTCAACCCCATTTTTTGGAAAATATAACGCAGCTTCAAATGTGATGTTTTTTACATGTGAAATCTTGTAATGCTCAACTTTGAAGCAGAGTCCTGCATCGGGTCGGGTACCCGCGGGTACCCGACGGGTGACCCGCAAAAAAGGTGATTCGCGGGTGGTATTTTTTTCAAACGCTTTTTTCCGGGTTCGGTTCTGGGTAAAACAAAGATGATGCGGGTCGGGTCGCGGGTGTTGCATAATAAATATATTAAAATAATAATAAATTAGTTTAATGTTTAAAATCCTCAGACCTCTCCCCCGCGGGACCGCGCATAATCATAACCTCTGCAGCGCATCAATCTGCTGCTGAGCGCGCCACATTCGAAATGGCTGAGGTGAAGGCGGAGCTCGGAGAATACAGCATTTTCAATAACACTTCCTCAAGAGCGAAATCCAACGTCTGGGAGGCTTTTGGTGTCATCCTAGATGGAGGAAATAACCAACATCCCACGCTTTCTGAGACAAATATGAAACTGCGTGTGTTAATAATTGCACGTTTTCACTGCTCATAGGCTATGCGGGTTCGGGTCGGGTTGCGGATCTTGTGCCGACGGGTCGGGTCGGGTTGCGGAACTAATTGGCAATATGTGCGGGTAGCGGGGCGGGTTCGGTATTGCACGTCGCGGGTGCGGGGCGGGAGCGGGTCTTGAAAATCAGACCCGTGCAGGACTCTGCTTTGAAGACATTTGTGACCTTGGAAATAGCAGTCTGGCAATTTCCACTTGCCTTATTTTTTCACTCAGCAGATGGAATTTGTTCAGAGTTGTTACAATATCTCCATCTTTGAAGGAAGGTCATAAGATGTGGGTGGAAGCTTTGACAAAATAAGAAAACTTTTCTGAAGGGACCAGCCATTAAAGTAAATATTTGAATGTTTTTAAGTGGGGTTGGAGTAGGTACTTATCCAAAGTCCATGCATTTACCTACAGCAGATGGCCGTCAGCACGCCCCTGGTTTAAAGAAGACGGGAGTAATACATGGAAATTGAGCAATGTTCTTGGTGTTGACAGAGGCAGCAGCAAAACATATTTCAGTCACTTAAAGGAAAAGCTAACCTAAAAAAAATCAGTTAAAGTCTTTACTTTATTTCGAATATTTTCTTGCTTTACCTTGCCGCCCTTTTCAGTCAGGGGACGGAAATCACAATATACGCTTTTGCTAAAACCACCAAAGTCAATTGACAAAAAAAGTACTTTAACTCGCATAACATTGGAGTTGCAGGTCTGCTGCTTCCTCTATTGGTCAGCTTGTTCGCTACAGTTTGAATTTTTTGTATACAGATTTAGCCAAAGCCCGGCCATGACACAGACAAAAAAACCGGCAGAGCAGCAAAACTAAGTTTTGTTCAGTTTCTAAAATGTTTTTATTTAATGGAATTTGGTGAATTGGAAGAAAGCATATATTGATGGGTGAAATGGAAATGTTCTTAAAATAGCATACACTTTATGGGCCTTTGTAATGACTTTAGCTGCCCCTGTCCACAGCAGAGCATTGCTTTACTTCTGTGCCAGTAAGACGTTTTTTCTCCAAACTTGGGGTGTGCCTCATTTACTGCATACTATCAATCTTCAAAGAGTCCTCTAACAGTTCAAAATGCACACTAATATAACCAATCAATACTTTTTCATCAGAATGCATCACCTGTATTCACTTCTCCTCGTTCCTCCTCAGGTGGTGTCCTCGGTGCAGAGTGGGCCGTACACCCAGCTGACGCAGGAGGAGCTGATCACGTTGGTGGTGAGGCAGCAGACCGACCTGTCCCGAAAGGACTCGAAGATCGTTGAGCTGGAAGAGTACATCGACATCCTGCTGGTCCGCGTCATAGAGGAGAAACCCAGCATCCTGCAGTCCCTCACGAAACCAGTGTAAGGTCCCAGCTGCTGGAGGAGAAGCGAGTCCCCCTTAAGGGCACAGTCATGTTGGTTCTGTTTGTCACTGTGAGACACAATCTCTACAAAGGTCTTATTATAAGCATATGCACTTTCTTATTTCAGAGCTAATGTCCCTTTAAAATTGTCTCCAAAGATATATTGGGTGATCATTTAATAACAATCAAATTAAGATCTTTTTATGAGCAGACTGTTTTGACACTAAGGTACTGGAATTTGCTTTTAAAATGTGTTACATAGATTACTATTAAGCATTTTGATTTACATACCATACTTTATAAAGCTTGGGTTTATTTAATATATAATTGATGCTGATAAAAAAACAATTATTTTTTAAATATTATCTTGCTTTTTTTACTCTTCACCATGAACCGTTGTGTAACTTATTGCCGTGCGATGTACGATCATTTACATAAACAACCATTCCAAATTCATGCACCATCAGATTGTGTAAGCGTGATATTACTCTTGTATAAATGAATCTAATGAGCCGGTTTAAAATTAAGATCATTTATATTACAAGGGTTCATTGACTTTCCCCTCCATTACTGAGGTCTTGATTATTCTTGGCTTGCATGTGGTTTTTTTTAAACTACCTAAACACTGCGATTCCTCCCACTTTTAACTCACCACAGTTGAATGTCATCAGATCAAGTCCTTAATAACAAAATGTGCCTATTTTCGCTTTAAAACGGGCTTATTAAGAAAACAGCAATACAAAAAAACAAGCAGCTGCTTTTGAATCTACATAGTTTGAATAACACAGCAGGTTAAGTGTGTGTGTGTGTGTGTGTGTTATTTAGCCTGTGGACATAGTTTTACATATTATGCAAGTGATCAAACGCTACTAATAATAATAATAATAATGTGAGAGTTTGATCACTGTGATGTTTGTGTTGTAAAATGAAACCAAGAGATAATCAAAGAGGAACTGTAATAGACTTTGTATAAGTAAGAAACCAACCAGCCTTGTATTTGTATATGAACTACACTAATAAACATGTATGCCTTTTATATGACACTATTATTTTATGTCTTGGCAGCAAAGATTGCAATATTAATCCTCAGAATGTACAGAGTGCCTTCAAAACCTTTTCCATGACTCTTGTGTCTGATTTGCTGGATGGACGTTGGTTGGCCACCTCTCCTTTTTCTAGAGTGAGAGATCAAACTTGTACAGCCTGATGATACAGATGATGTAAAAACTTTGTGAAAGAAGTGATGCTGAGGAAAATATGGTTTTATTTAAAATAAAGACACTCATTATTTCACCACATTGTTTGTTTTTGCAGTTACTTACTGTAAGAGAAACTTCTGCAGCAATGGAGAGTCAGGACTCAGAGAGACACGAGGAGAGTTGGAGCTTTGATGTCAAACACTGGTAGTTTATTACAAGTATCGGCCGGAGAATTCATATCACAAGTCACAGCAGCAAGAGGTTCTGACTGCACGGGTGGGTTGCCACATCAATTCTGCTGCGCCTTTTAACTAGCTTACAGAGACACTGGAGATAGCCCAACATCTGGAGACACTGAATCACCTGTCTGACTCTTAGACTGTGTGACCGAGAGTTGACCGGTGATAAAACTGAGAATATCCACATATAAGTGCAGCAGCACATTCCTTAAAGGAGATAAGAGAGTCAGGGTTGGTTATAAACGTCAACAGTTGAATATCTTAGGAGTAAGACAGAATTATTCCCTCACACTTTCAATTATTGTATGCACATTTGGAAAGTGTGAGGGAAACTTCTGAAGCAATTGGAAACAGGACTCAAGAGGCACGAGGAGAGCTGGAGCTTTGGTGGTAAACACTGACGGTTTATTTGGTGTTACGGCCGGAGAATTGACAAGACGGTGTGTCACGAGTTGACACAGCGGTTGCCAAACCAATTCTTAAGAACTCTTTCTGTAGCTCGAGGTTTTAACTAGTTCAGAGTGTAATAATCAACATTCTTCATCAGTGAGACTAAAGCAATATGGACCCTGAATTTAACTAGAGCTCTCGTCCATAGAAAAGAATGTGCGCCAGGGAACCTTCGTCCCTGATCAGTAAACTACCTCATGGCGGCTTGTGCTCTGTCATAGACTGGCAACAACAATGCGCCCAAGCTGCTCCTCCTTAAGAGAGATAGCAGCTATACCCAAGGCCGTAGACCTATGCCATGAGAAAGGAGACAGTGAGAGGAGACAATTATGAACTGTGTCGAAGGTTGAATACCTAAGCAAATTATTCCCTAACAGAAAGAAATAACCTACAAATGAAATCCTATTCACAGTTTTCAATGGAGCAACTTTCATATTAATATCTCTAGCTGTCTTTTTAAGTTAACAAATTAGTGGCTCTCACATTTTAAATACATGTGTTCTCCCTGACTAACAACAATAATACATGTTTTATTTTACACAATGGCTGCCTTTCAGGCCAAGAGGCAGGGCAGCTGGACTTCAGACCAATTTATTTAAACAGCAGTGTAAATTAAGCAGTTTATTCAATGGTGTATATTGTAGACCATGTCAACAATCTGTTTTTGTTTTACAACTTAATCTGGATGTTTTTTAATAAAATCAGACTCAACCCGATCTGCTCCGTTTTGGTGAAGTCCATCGAATTTACAGATCAAAGTATATTTACATGTCCTTTAGAGAGCTCCTGCATATGTAAAACAAATAATTCAAAAACCTTGTATGGTTCCAGAGGGAGCTGCACAAAAAATAATAAATTGTCTCAAGTAATGTCTCTTAAGTCAGCATTGGCCGGGGCTGAAGGCTAAAAGTTTGATCATTAAAAAATCTAAGGCTGTGGAGTTAGAAATAAGTGAATTTACCACACCCCACAGCCTGCTCCTCATCTCTGCTTCAGGCTATAACTGTTTAAGGCAACACTAGGTTACAGGTAACAAAACCAAATATCCAAACACTCTGGCCGTTTCTCAATGTCGAGTAAAGCTGCTGCAGAGCCACTATTTCAAGTATACTGCGTCGCCGAATGCTGGGCATTTAAACAGTCCTTCGGCGCCACTCGATGACGTACTATACTTGAAATAGTGGCTCTGCAGCAGCTTTACTCGACATTGAGAAATGGCCACTGTCAGCGTTCAAGCTGCATTGTGGGTAATGTAGGAATGTATGGGAAACAAAGAGAATATCTCTGGTTTTGGTGCATTGATTATGATCCATGTTTTTGTCTACTGGTCTATGGTGAGTATGACAATGTTTCTTAAGTGTAAAGCTAAATTGGTGGATTTCTCTTAAGCGAAGTTGATACTGGGCCACTGAATTATGGTGCGCTTTCCTTGGAACAAAGCTGGATCACTATCACAAGTCTGCAGTTAGGTTCCCTGCTTGCCAGACCACTTGCAGCCCAACATCTAATATTAAAACAAAAGATACTTACTATTTTAATGCGAGTTTGCCAAATGTCACTAAAATGAATTGAATATACCCAATACACTTGAACATACAGTGAAGAAGTCAGGAATGAACAAAGCTTCACAAAACCACACTAGCTGTGGCGCAGTTGTTAGCCGAGATGCCGATGCGACTGCGGCACTTGAACATTTTGCGGAGCTCAGCACGGAAGCGGTCGTGCAGCCAGGCGTAGAGGAAGGGGTTACAGCAGGAGGAGCTCATGGCACACAGGTGACAGAGCAGCTGAATGAGCAGGAAGTAGCGCTTATCGATCAGGTCAATGTCAATGTCCCGCAGCACGTTGAACACACTGATCGGCATCCAGCAGACGCCGAAGGCCGCCACCACCAGGCTCACCAGCCGAAAGGTCTTGCGTTTGCGCACCCGCTGAGCCTCAGCCTGGCTCTGGGTGTGGTGGCCGGGCACGACACAATTCCTCAGTTTGACCGAGATGCACAGGTACGAGATGCAGAGCGCGGACAGAGGCAGGACGTAGGTGATGAAGAGGGTGCTGTACTGCGTAGGCCAGACGCTCGTTCTGCTTGCCGATCCAGAACTCCTCGCAGATGCTGAAGCCCTCGTCCTTAAACTCCACATGGTAGGTGTGGGCCACAGCTGGAGCCACCAGAGTGCAGGACAGCAGCCAGATCCCCGACAGCAGGTAGGTGCACGCCACCACTGAGATGCGCTTCTTCAGAGGATGAACTGTGGCGTAGTATCTATAAAGAAGCAGAGAACAGGTTACCCTTTGTTAGTTTTGTTCCGGGTCTAGATTAGATTAGATCTACCTAGCCAAACCAGTGGACAAAAATATAGAAACATGCCAGATATGAGTCATGGAAGAAAACAGCATTCACAAGCCATCGCTTGCCAACAGCAATCACAACATGCTAATGGGATCACAGCTGTTAAGTACCAAAGCCTTAAAAATTACCATAGAAAGCAGTGCTTGACAAATTAACGGTTTCATACCGAGAACGGATGTTAAATAAAAAAACATGTTCACAAAGCTTTCATGAAAGTTAAATCCAATTCAGCTCTGCCACTGTATCCATGGGGACCAACAAAGGAGGATTCGGGCCCAGTTTGGTGTAATGAGCACAACACCTTGGAGTGCTGAGCAATCCTTTATCCCCCTCAGTCAGGCAATTTTTACATTTGGAGTTACTCAAAGGATAGGGATAGTGCATTTTGTAATGGTTTCGATGTTGAGAACATCTGCAGTGTGAGCAGCCATTCAGGTGGTAATATTATCTTATAACAGGTAAATCATAATGCACCCATTAAATCAACAGCATTTTATACATGGCGGAGAGAAAAACACTTCAAAGTGTATTAAATGTTGACTGTTTCATGACTTGCATGATCAATCTTATTCTTTGTCCATTTGCTATAGTATGTTATATAGGTTTTGTAAATGGTCTACCCCCCCCCCCCCCTGTGAAGATATCACAGTAGAGGCACAACATATGCAACTGAATATTAGCATAATATTTCCTCTTTAAGAAAACACATATTATCCAATAAACTCTTAATTTATTTCCACAGCTTACATCCGTCAAAGTTATTTCACATTTGCATCTGTCACTTTAATGATGTGCAAAAAGAGACATTGACATTAATTGAGAGGAATTATGTATACCCTATTATTTTTCTTCAAGTATGTATTTTATAACAGTGTGGCTCAGCTAACCTCACCAAGCATTAAAGGATTTGTCAGTTAAGTTCAGGACACATTAAGATATTCCCTGTGGGGTTTATGTATTCTGTCCACTTTTATCTGGCTCAGTCTTACCTGTCCACACCAATGGCAGTGAGAGTGAAGACGGACACGTACACCGTCACAGGCTGGATGAGGTACACTAGGTAGCACATGAAGCGGCCAAACACCCAGCCGTGTGGGTTGAAGGCGTAGGCCAGAGTGAAGGGGACACACGTGGCACACATCAGCATGTCAGAGAAGGCCAGGTTTCCAATGAAGAAGTTGGTGACGTTGTGCATCTTGCGCGTGCGGCAGATGACGTAGAGGAGCAGGTAGTTTCCGAAGACGCCCACCAGAGCCACCAGAGTGTAGCAGGGGATGATGAGCAGCTTGAAGGACTGCAGCAGCTCCACTCCCACAAACCCGTGGCTGCGCTTGGACGAGCCGTTCTGCAGCGCCACCTCAAAGACCTGACCCGTGTCATTCCCAGTCCCAGCATGCATCACACAGGGAGGGGTGAGCTCTGCTGCCCAGCCGCTGCCTGTGCCTTCCATCCCAAAAGGCTGCTGTCAACCTGGAGGAGGGAAATCATGAACACAATAGACCACACTGCACAGTACAAAATCACTGCCAAGCCAAGGACATGTTGAATAACGGGTGGAAATGAATGTCACACTTCTTCAAAGACACATTTGTAATGAATTAATGAACTTAAAGGTCTCCTATTATGCTATTTGTAGGCAAATATTATGGGTCTCAGATATTAAATACAAAATAAACCCTCAAAATACCAAACAGATCATGCATTTTAGACATCCCTCATATCCCTCTATTCCAGCCCTGTTAGATAAATGCTGATTTTGGGTCCTTAGTTTAAATAAAAGAGGAGGGGGAGCCTGCTCAGAATTCTACGGGCAGATACAGCTAAATTCTGCCGTGATTAAACGCCATCATGTTCCAAACCACATCAAGGATTATTTCTGAAACAGTATGGAGCTCAAATGCTTTTTCTCTTGCGGGTTTACCACAAGGCAGAGATGGAGTACTCGAGTCCTGGACCGATTTTCGGGACTCGCGACTCGACTCGCGCACTGATTGACGCGGACTCGACTCGGACTCGTGAATTCTCGCGCGCGATGACTCTGACTCGTGAATTTTTGGCCCACCATGACTCTGATCATAAATCGAATCGATAGATTTGTGATTAGAAAATTATAAAAGTAGGGTAGACATGTGGAGATTATCCGACTGAAGAAAACGTGATCCGTCTCTTAAATGTGTCTCAACCACAGACCTTATTTCGAGCTATTTTCTAAAATCCTATGGAGAAATTGCATTGCTTTGTTGTCGAAGGAACCCATGCACAGCTTACTTCCGGGTTTTAGGACGCGTCACTGTGGCACTTTATTTAGTATATCTTAATGTATTCGTCATCTATCCGTCACATGGATGTATAATAAGAACTAGATACAGCGTGGGAGGCGGGGTCTCGTTCTTTGCTATGAGAGCTGCTCATTGGCGCATGAAGTCAAAAGGCGCGTTCACACCGGAGTACTTTTCCCGTTTAGTTCCGTTAGTGCCTGGAATTTTGCGTTCACACCAAAAAGAGTACTTAGTTCCGATAACTTTTACCGCCATTTTTAGTGCCTGCTAGAGAGGTGGTACTATCCTGGGGAGAAAAAAGTACCAATTTCGATTGGCTGGGCGAATTGCAAACCACGCCCCGTAAAACTCTGTTTTGTGAAGCCGCCATTGTATTTGCTGGCATTAGCATTTTTAGCATTAGCATTAGCCCCGCGCACCAACGGAGAGAGAATAACTTATGGCAACACAAAAAAAACATGGGAGCGGTGGAGATGAGGAGGTGTCGGCGTTCTGGCGATTTACTCGGAAGGCTTCAGTAGAAGCTGCCCAGCAGCAGTGCTGGGAACTAAGTGCTGAGAACTAAGTACGGCAAAGTACTTGGTGTGAAAGCGGCTATTATGGCCCAACTTTTGAGAGACTGAAACGTCACAGATTACCCGTCATGCCTGGCTGCCAGAGCAGAAGAACCCGTATGTGCGCTCACAGAGCATGCGCCCCTTAAGCCCCGCCCCCAAGCTCCCACTCTCGGCTCACTAGAATGAATGGAGAGAGAAAATAAATCTAGATTCTGCTTTTAGTGCATTTTACAACTTTAAGGACCTAATGATTCTAATAAGGGCTATAAAATAGTTCATACTGGGTAGTTTATTTAGTTAAAAAAAAATTATCCACCGATTTACAGACGTCTCTTTCCCTATATGTTAGTCAATGGGAAAAAGTGGTTTTGGGCCAGGTGACGTCACGGACTGATACGGAAGTTGCAGTACTGCCGTTTGGACACAACGAATGTTGGGCAAGCCCCCAAGAAGTGCGCCGGACTCTGAGGAAAATATTCGTTGTGGCCAAACGGCGGTACTACACTTCCGTATCAGTCGCTGGGCCCGGAAATACTTTTTCCCATTGACTAACATTGGGAAAGAGACGTCTGTAAATCGTTGGATACGTTTTTTTAAACTAAATAAACTACCCAGTATGAACATTTGTATAGCCCTTATCAAAAACATTCGGTCCTCAAGTTCTAAAATGTGCTAATAACGTTATTCTGAGAGTTATTTTCCTCGGCATTATGAACGCGGATCTAACCCACGGGACCGCGCCGCCCGGCACGTTCATGTGACGTGTTCAGTATTACATGAGTTTTACCTTTACCCATGGATGCACAATAAGAACGGATTATATGATTATATGAATACTTTCGTGACGTTTCGCTCTCTCAAAAGTTGGGCCATTTTGTCTTCATGCGCCAATGAGCAACTCCCATAGGAATGAACTAGGCCCCGCCTCCCACGCTGTCATTATACATGTGTGTTTACACTGCTCCGTTGTCCATTGACTTCCGGTAACAGTTGCTTCAAAAATAAGAGTCCCGATCTTATTACTATCAAAATAAAAGTGCAAAACGAAAACTTTACCATAAGAAAATATTGGCATACAAATATAATCACTTCTCTAAAAGGTAACTCATTTTAAATATAGTTAGACATATTAAAGGTAATTTACAATAATAAAAATAATAATAATAATATTAATATTGTTAATAAGCTTTATATGTGTATAGCACCTTTTATACAATAATTGTAGCCAAACTCGCTTCACAGCAGTTCAATAGACACATTAGTATAACATGATAGGATAAAAGCAATGTAGAGGAGCTACAGCTAAATTTCAACAAATATCCATTAAGATTAATACATGAAGACTTGTGACTCGGACTTGACTTGGACTCTTCTTGGGTGACTCGGACTTGGACTCGGACTCGAACACAGGTAATGATGACTCGGACTCGACTCGGACATTCCTTGGGTGACTCGGACTTGGACTCGAACACAGGTAATGATGACTCGGACTCGACTCGGACACTCCTTGGGTGACTCGGACTTGGACTCGGACTCGACTCCAACTCTCCCTAGGTGACTCGGACTTGGACTCGGACTCGAAAAGTGGGGACTCGAGAGTGACTTGGACTCGTGAATTGGTGACTTTACTACAACACTGCCACAAGGTGAGTTCCTTTTTTTATTTCCTGCTTTTTTACACATACTCTCTCCAGTTAGCTCTGAGTGTTAGCGATGCTTGCTAATGTAAGCAAAGACCATATGACTCCCGAAACACGTCAGGCATTATTTCTGATAGAAACTTTTTGATAGGGCCGTGGGTCCACATTGCCGATATTAAGTCATATCGGACGCAAATCTGGATCAGCTACGTTGTTCCCCCGTTTTTAGAGATTTGGGTACGGAGGAAAAGAGAGAGAGTTTTGTTTTCTGACACTTTGTGAGTTCCCTGACACACACATATTTATGTATTTTGCATGATAGGCCCCCTTTAAATAATTTCCCTCTTTTTACAATCCTTTGTGAATGAAGACGAGCTTTACAGTTGAGCAGAGTGAACTCTGTCCAATTATAATACTTGTCCTTGTGATTACATTTTATTAAGTCCAGTGTAGTTTCAAAGGGAACAAACTTTATTTTGTCAGAACAAAGAAAGGGTTTCTCTTGGCTAATTACGGTGTGTTTGAGGTATGTTTTCTGCAGTTTGTCTTTCCCTGTAAGTAAGGTGCCATTCCCTTAGCTCATCAGATTTTCTTAACTTCGGCAGAAACACTGAATAGCTGAAGGCTGCTGCATGGCTCTGGACTTATTTACATGTGCACAATAAACAGCACTGGTGGTTCCAATTCACATTGATTAAATGCAATAATCATGCTATGGCAACATAATGACTGCTAGAGATAATGGGAGCATACACACATCGAGCATATTGATGGTGAATTCACTCAGTGAGTCATTTGGCAGGGACAAAGATTTTTAATTTACCATTCAGATGTATTAAAGGTGTTGATAATAATATTGATTTCTGTGAAAAGTGTGGATCAGATTAATTCTGACAATTCTGGATGAAAGATTTCTGCTTCACCTAAACTGATGTCAATCTTAATCATTACTGAGACTTTATGTCTCAAAGAAGTATATGATATAACTAAAAAAAAACATCAAAAGAATGGAACTGTTGCAGTAAATAAACAATTGTAACACTAATCTGTCAACCAACACAGGGTCTTTTAATAAAGGGTATTATGTTCTGTGCAGATTATTTGTTCAATTGTGTCTGAACTATTGTTCATGCATGCTTACAATGATTTGACATTTGACAATTCCACAAATAGTTTAATATCTGAAATCACTCTCAGACAACAGTATATTATTAAATACAGGTATTTATGCTCTGGGTGAATTAATTAATAATCTCGTTTGGATGACCAGTCCAAAATAGGAAACTGCTAAATCGAGGTGTTATAATTAATTTTAAAATGGATGAAAATGAAAATAGCATGAAAATACAAAGTAACGATTTCATGGTTGGCTCCAAACTCATTAACTCTATATGTCGTTTCAGATGTAATCGTTAGACTAACCGACTGCATCCCTTCTCCCAGCAGCCAACATAAGAAATACAATTGGAGACAAACAGTCTACTCTTTCATTTTAAGTCTTAAAAAGGAGATTGTAAAACTGCAAGGCAATTACGGACAATGTGCAGATAAAAAAAAAAGTATCTATCAAACATAACAATTCCCTAAACTCCAGCATATGAAAACACCTTTGAGATAAAGAACTGACGTATTTCTTTACAACATCGCATCTCTCTCCATTCAGCTCTACTGTAGCCAGCTGGATTTGAGTGAGACCTAATTCAATTAAAGCTAGATAAACTGAAAACATCACATGTGGAATTGGAGAGAAAATAAAGCACACATACCGTATTGAGTTTTCAGATACAGAATATGAGCACAGAGAGATCCAGCGCGGAGCCTCGTGCGCCTCTGAGAGATGCGCGCGTCTTGCACAAATCAACTCGCGCAAATCAACTCGCGCAGGTTGCTATTGGTATTTCACGTGTCAACCGTGTAATCACTTATCCAGAGTGGGGCGGTCGACAAGTGGATGTGGCGCGTGCCTCTCTTTTAGATCTGCCTTTAAACCTGACTGAAGAGCTTCTGCGTGCATCAAAGAGTCTGCATATAATCAACGAAAAAACATGCAAATACTCTATTTCTACAGGAAATAAAAATAGGTCTAACTTTTTTATTTCTGCATTGTTTTAAGCTAATTATTCCTAAATTAGTTTTTGAAACCATGCCGTTTTTTCCTGGTGTAACCTCAGTTATAATTATGGTCACTGCACCCTTTTAATGCATGCCCGAAAGGTCACACTGTTGTCTGCAGATGCAACACGGGCTCTAATGTTTGAACTGTCATCCTTCTTTGGTCACCAATATTTGTAAAAGGGGCTGAGGGGCAGACTGATAAGGACGTGACGTGATGTTTGACTGTCTTTGTGAGGCACACAATCAGAGCTGCAGGTCTGCAAAAGGTGTTTCATTTGTGCAAACAGACTTTCAGTTTCTCCTAAACAAGTCAGAACAGAGACAAAACAATCATGGCTCTCTGACCGGGATTAGTGAATTGAATCTGAATCTATAGCCTATGTGTGAAGACAGACGGACATGAGGAGATCCTGATTTGACAATTACAGTGGATGTTGTATTCAGTGTGTCTGGGGCTTCTCCACGTTCATTTAAAGCTGCAGGAGTTTTGTTGTGATCAATAGAGGTTAACTCTTCCCACTCTCCCTCCTGCATGCAGCCAAGCTCAGCTCGGTCCTCTGTCAGCAGGATGTGTTTAAGGCAGAAGAAAGCTAGGACATTTTATGTGGAATAAAGACTAAACAGCAGGAATGCAACATAACAAGCACGAAAGAGTTACTCTTCACACTTTATGATTAAAATGTTAAAACTTTCAATCCACACTCGAGAAATCTAATTGGAAAGGAACCAGAACAGGAACATACTAAACAGGACCATTGATTATATCAGGGGGAGAAGAATACATTAGAAATGTGAAGTATAGGATTTATTCTTTCATGGTGAAAAAACACTAATCCAGCTTTTATGGTTAAGCAAGCAGAAATAAATGTGGTGAGTCCCAAGCAACTGATGTGACATTTCTGTTTCCTGTTTTGGATACAGTCTCTGACATTTGTCTGAAATTTGTTTGGGTTTGGTGTGCGCTCACTCGCTAGTTAGGACAAAAAGATCGTACATTGTGGTTGTTTTCCTGTCTGTCAGGCTGTGCAAACTCCTCACAGGGTTTGTAAAAGTTTAGGGCAGGGCTGTATTGCATAGTCTCAAAGTCATACTTTTATCACAATAAATGCTGTGCAACACAGTCGTCTTTTTTTATATACCTAATTTACATAAAGCACAGCTGGAAGTCTTTTCAGACCTTTAACTTAAGTAAATGCATTAATGTTAAAAATACTGTTACACGCCAAATATGATCAAAAGTATGCAGAATGGTCCTTTTGGGAACAGTAGCTCTGTCATACTAGTTCTGTTTATGCATTGATGTGTTCATCCTTTTATGTTGCAGCTTGTAAAGGTAGAGCTAATTTCATTACTTGTACATACATGTGAGAAGCTTCTAAATAACCCTCTGGTGATAAATAAATGTAATTTTGTCCTAAAATAATACATCACTATGCATTTGTTTAATATATTTTGTATTAATAATCTCTAACTTGGAACTTTTCTGATGGTAAATGGACCGTGTTTATATTGATCCAGTCTTCATGACCTTTCAAAGCACTTTAGCAAGTCATCATTAACCTGCAAAGTGCTCTGTAAGTGCTCCAGTAAGCTAACATACTGTACACACACATGCACACAGCGTTGGAGTTCAGTATTTTGCACACGGACACATCAACACCCTGACTGCAGGGACTGGGATCGAACCCACAACCTTAGGATTGAAAGACGACCCCACCTCACAGCCACAGTCATTGACTAACAATGAAAACCTTAAAAGCTGTACGGCACTTGAATGAATGTTTCTTTCTTTCCACCATTTCAAATATTCAAGATTACATTTTATTGTCATATGCACAAAGCTACAGTGTAGAAATGAAATTCTTCTGACCTGAGCTCCTCCAACAATGCAACGTAAAAATAAAATACAAAATTACAAAATAAAAAGTGGTGCAAAAAGTCTATACACATGTTAATAGAATATGGGATATGTACAAGAACAGAATATGAAATTAAATAATGTAAATTAAGACATCTGAGTAGGATTTACAGCAACATCTGATCAGATTATGTGTTGTTTATTATCGATTATCACCGGAAGCTGTGCCAACTTGTTCAAAGAAAAGTCAACAAGCTCGGCTACCATAATTCACATCAAATGTCGTTACCAAAATTGTATTAAATACGTCAGCTTCTTTAATAAGTTGTGTAATATTGATGAACTTTCTCCTTGGTACTTTTGTCTGAAAAAGTACTAAAGCTTACTAAAGAAACATTGTGAATATAACAGGACTGACCTAAGGTTAACAATTATTTTGAGACTTATGGCAACACAAAGCAGCTGACACTCAGAAGTTTGCTCTGATAAATTGCATCGGTAGAATCGTGCTGACACTGACTCACTCATTTACTGTCACCTTATATGACAGCCACTAGACTTAATTGCTGCTCGGCAAAACAAAACCGCATCATTTAAAATCAGCACAGTATGTCGTTAGCTGAGACCAGACATTCAGACAGAGTTTAGCCCCAAGACCAAATCAAATGCACAGTATGAGAAAATAAAGCTTCAAACCATTAGCAAAACAGAAGACAGTGTTCTAATGAGTATCGGTGATGTGCTATCTCCTGCAGACAGCTTAACACTGTATAATTCAATCATGACAGCCTGTTGACAGTGGATACCAGTGTGTGTGAATCCATCTTGTGTTATTTTCTTGTTGTTTGAATCCCTGTTTGACAACATGTCCAACCCCCTGCAGGAGACTTTGTTGTTTGAGACGCTCCTTCAGTGACAGGCTGCTTCACTGAGAGATACCACAGATACTTTCTTCCTGCAGCTGTCAGGATGTACAACCAACAAGGTCACCGGTAGACCACCACACACACACCAATACTAAAACACCACCAACATTTCACTACTCTACAATTGCTATAACTTGTCCTTGGGCCAAATATGACCAATGGTGTGTGAATGTTTCCCTGAGCAGGTGGCACCTTGTATAGCAGCCTCTGCCTTTGTATGGATGTGAGTGAATAGGTGAATGCAGTTCATTGCCATTACTTGTTTGAATGTCTTAAAAGTCACCTATTATGCAAAATCCACTTGTTCATGTATCTTCTACATAAACATGTGTCCCCTCCGGGGAAAAAAGATTCTCTCACTTTTTGTCCTGATCCATTTCTATAAAAACCTGTCTGAAAATGAACTGATCAGATTTTGGCCACTTTATGATGTCATAACGATGTTTTGGCTTGGTAACCATTAGCCAATCACCAACCAAGGTAACTTCCCCCCCCCCTTATCACCTAAATCACCTCCTAGAGCACCATTAGCCGCATTCACACCGCAGGACTTTCCCTGGTACTTTGGTTCTTTAGTTCCGTTAGTACCAATAATGTCGCGTTCACACCGCCGGGACTACTCAGTGCCGGGAACTCTTTTGGCCATTTTCAGTCCCTGCTAGAGAGGTGGTACGAACCTGGTGATAAAAGAGTGCCAATTTATATTCTATTTCTATTGGCTGGGCGAATTGCAAACCACGCCCCGTTAGACTCTGAATTTGTTTTGTTAGGCAGCCATTTTTTTCCTCGCTACAAAACCACATCCACACCTGAGCGAGTAGTTTTTTTTGTACTTTAAAGCAGTTATGACCACACGTACTACAACACCGGAGCGGTGGAATGATGAGGAAGTGTCGGCGCTTCTGGCAATTTACTCTGAGGACGGGATGCAGCAGCTTCTACAGAAAGCAGTTCCCAACTCCAAATGTTTTGAGCGATGTTCGCAAAAGCTACTTGAGCTGGGAATCGTGCACAGTGCACACGGATGCCGGATAAAAATAAAGAAACTCAGGCAGGACTATAACAAAATTAAAGACCACAATAATAAGAGTGGTAACGATTTTCTATTGTTATTATATATATATATTGCCACTGTTTTTTAATACTGACACCTAACTTGCACTAAGGTGTGTCTGCTGCTATATATATTGCCACTGTTACATTGTTTTGAAACTACTTACACTTTATTTTACATTTCACTTTTATTTAACTTCAATTTACATACATACGACACACCTGGAACAGCGTGATGCCGTTATTGTTATGTCTTGACTGTGCAATAAAACAAAAAAACTGGCGAAGCTTTATTTATTGTGTCCCACCCCAAATTTGCAGAATAGAAGAATGTGAGAGCAGACAGGTGTCGGTGGTTGAATTGATCTACAATGTTGCAACCTTGTGCAGCAATGGCAGGGGCAGAAACACAAGTCTTACACACATAAACACAAGTAATTTATCATGTCATTTGTTTTAGATAAATAAGGGAAAAACACCAAACAAGGGTTAATGTCCTTTTCCAAAATCAGCCTGAGGGGGTAATATATAATAAATACATAAAGATAAAGTCCATTGTTATAATGGGGCATTTTATTTGTAAATTATCCTTATGAACTCCATCATGTCTGAGGTCGGAAAGTAAACAAACGCCTCATACAGCGGGTGGGCTTTATACCCCCTCCCCCCGTGTAGTTCTTCTTCTCTCGTTTTTTTTTGTACTCGCCGTGAAGTGGTTTTGCGGCCTGCCAGTAAACCCAGAGAAGAAGAAGACGAAGTGACGTCAGCGTAATTTTGCCTCAGGGAAAGTACTGCGGTGTGAATGCGATTGGCACTAGCCCCCTGGCGGATTCAGTGCCGTGGTACTTTAGTGCCGGCACTAAAGTACGGCAAGTCCTGCCGTGTGAAAGCGGCTAATGTGTTCTTTTTAACCAAATCTCTCTCAGAGGGGCGTGGGGAGGGGCTCCTTATTTTCATCTAAAATAACAGACAGAGAATCAGCACTTTGGCTGAAACAGAGGGGATTGTGGGTAATGCTGCAATGATCTGTTTGGTATTTGGAGCCAAACACTTCAGAGACATGTTTTGTATATATCTGAGACCTATAATATATTGATGAAAAACAGTTTATTAGGGTACCTTTAATGCAGATATTCTTCTGCCCCTTGTAGAACTTTGGGATTGCTTTTACTGTAGTATTGAAAGGTGCTTTACAAATTACAAATGTATTACTGTTATTATTCTTTTGTTTGGGTGCCAATGAAGAGATTAAGTAAATGTAGCATTTATTTCATAAAAATATTTAAGTCCCATGGGTCAAATGACATGGAAGATATTGGAGAAAAAATATTCTAATCAAATATGTATGTGAAATCTATTCATAGTACAAAAGTGGTTTGATTTCTAATTGGTTTTATGTCATTCAAATGGTAATTTATTGATGTAACCTTGTGAAACCCTGTGGTTAGATCCATCCTAAAACTACCTCTTAACTTTTTTTTATTTAGTGATACAACACTGACGTTAATAAAACATGCTTGTTACAATACTCTCCATCTATGCAATCTGCTGCAGCTTGCTTACTGTTTTAGAGCAACAAAAAGAAAAAAACATTTCACAACATTTTCTAAAAAAGCTTCACTGTAAAAAAAAAGCGGTGTCCTTTTGAATAAAATTAGTCTTGGAAAGAACCTCATTTACAGATAACAAGTATTTCAACGGAGAACTGGAAGCTAGGCTTTAATAAGGCTCTATTAATGAGGACACATATGCATCCCTTAGTTCAAAGGAGTCTCTTTAGAAAAAATCTAAGACAGAAGATGATAAAGTTTAATTGAAAGAAATTACTGTGTTGTGTATAAGGGAATCATTTGAATTTAAACAGACTTGAATAAGATATTTGTTTGAAGTTAATGGCGTTTGTTCCCTCAGTGTTTGACTAATAATTGGTCAATCAGAAAATCTTTCTCTAAGTGCACTAGACTGGAGGACTTGGTCAGCACAGCTCAAATCAGCTCCTCCTGTGCTAATGACCGGCTGCTCTGCGTCCACTCAGTGGTAACCGTGTGCCTTTAATTTACCTCCTCGATGTCGTCTTGCTGTGACAATCTATATCTGCTCACAAAAGACAGCGCTCACTGTTTAGACTGCTGTGTGGCATGTGATTACTCCTTCAGAGTCTGGGTTAACATCGGTCCTGTTTGAATGTGCGAAGAGCATGGGAGCAGACGAGAGAGAACATTATGTTATTTTATTGTGTCGTTGACAGTGTGCTTTTTATGAAAGCAATACTAAGAATAGAATCGAAATGGTTCCAAATAATTTCATGTCCAAATCTTGGCGAATGGTTTTACAAGATCCTTTCAAATTGTTGTTTTTTTGTGTGGTTCACATATATTTTTAGGACATTCAAGCTTAACATTTCAGAGTTGTCTCAGTTTTATTTGTTATACTTCTGAAAATGATTTCTGGGTTCTGCTGCCAATAACTTGAAGAAAAGCAAAAACCGTTTTTTACCAATTACCTTTGATCTTTGCAGACAATGTACGGTGGCCGACAAGTGCCAACGCGCCTCAACGGACCAAAAGCATCGGGAGAAACGTGCTGCAGCTGCAGAAACCATGCAAATATAAAAACACAAATGTGCCAAAACACATGCAAATAAAGCGACATACTCACCAACTTGACAACACACGCGCAGCATCTAGGAAATATTCACCAACATACAAAGTGAAGAGCACAGCCGGGACAGGAGTGCTTGTTGATGTTCGGGCATCATTTTTGAAGGAATCGTGCAATCACATTGTTAAAATAACACAATAAAATCTACATTTTAGGAACATTTCAAACAACAGTGATAGATAGCCAACTTTATAATCCCCGAACGTCAACAAGCGCCGCGGTCCCAGCTGTGTGCATCACTTTTTAGTGTCCCCGTTTCCGTTGTGTTTTGAGTTTCGCACAGCTTTTTTAATTTGCAGCGTTATTCATTTGCACCGTTTCGATTACGCAGCGCTTTTAGTTAACTCTGCAGTTTCGCCAAGTTGGTGAAGATGTTTCCTCATTTGCACGTGTTCCGGCACATTTCTGTTTTTATATTTGCATCCTTTTTGAAGCTGTTTTTTTAGACCGTTGTAGCCCGTTCGCAGCTGTCGGCCACCGTAACAACAAGAGGTTAGTTTCCATGGTTATATTTGGGTTAAAGCAATCCCTTTAATCACGTATATTGCCGTGGATGCATGTCAGCAGCGTATTCCTAACTTGAGACCTGCGAGTGAGTATCTGCAGCTACATGATGCAAAGTGCAGCACACAGCTTCTAATGGCTCAGACTGTGTGATGGTGGATGTTGATTATCCTTGTTGTTCACCCAAGGTCCCTGAAATGAAAAGAGCGAGAACACTGCCTCCATTACCTTGTGTAAACCTGTTTCTCAGAACTGAACCGCATCCAGCGACTATAGTGGCATATCTCTCCAATGAAAGGAGGTATACAGTTAGTTATATACAAATCTGCACACAGAGGTGCATGGTAGAGAAGAGGTTACTCATTCATGTTTTCAGATGAACTGTCATTTAAAAAAAAAAAATCCTAATTGAAAAGAAATGTTACTGAAAACATGATTGTAATCTACTGCAAATACGACTCTATTCAAAATGAAAGGTTACAATAAATGTGTTTTTTAATAAAATAATTTAAATAAGTAGGCTTCTTGTTTCATCGTGTTTTTGCCACACGATGGTAGTTCTTAATAGAGCAGTCAGGTTGAATAAAATATAGGTCGGTATATGTGATATATCTACATGCGTCACACTGACCTATTTGAGAAGGATCAGGTACTAAACTTTTATTGTCATTACACAGTACAGGTACTATGTAACAAAATGGTTTCTCTGCATTTGACCCATCCTAGTGTTAGGAGGCTGCCATTATGAGCAGTGTAGGGAACGGTGCCTTGCCAAGCCAAGTCCCAATGGACTTTGCCACCCCCGCCCAAGGCTCGATGAATAAACATGTTTACACAAGAACACACAAGCAAGAACACAAGAAGCAAAGATATTTATTAGATTTGTATATCAAGGTTTTTTGCTCCGTCGTAGAATTGATGACTGTGTACGCAGTGTGTTTCAATATATTTGAGATGTATTTTTCTGACGTTTACAGCAACGAAAGGGAACTTGTGAAGCTGGAGAGAAAACATTTGAGACATTTGTCTTGCTGTGAGCAACAAGTTGTTCAAGGCCTATTCCCTATTGGGCACGGATAAGCTCTGGATTCACCTTATATTAGATTGTGCTGGTGAGTCTGGGTCCTGGTGGCCCAGAGAACACAAAGACATTCAAAACAGGAAACAACACAAAACAAAACTCAAGTGAACTCAGTTTTATTTAAAATGACACACATCCATTCATGACATTAACATATACAGTACACGTCAATTATATAGGTAAAGGGAGAGTTTGACATTACAGTACATGCACTTATTTGCTTGAAAAGATCTCTCTAATGTTTGTCTTTTTTCTTTAATTGGCATAAAAACAAAGATGTAAAAATGTCAATTTGTGTTTTTTCCCCTTGTAACTTCACAAAAAGATGTTTCTATATTTATTTTTTTGTAAGAATTAAACAAATTAGATCCAAGATAATAGTTCTAAACCAAGCTAACAACGTAAGTGTAGTTAAACTGCTGGCTTTAGACACTGCACCTTATACAGACTCTCCAGCTAAAGTAACAACATTTAAAAAATGAAGTTTACATCACTGCTGTTATTTTCTTTTATCTATATGGCTGACCTAATCAATACATACATTACAGGACACATGAACACATCTTATACTCGGGTCTTCTCCCCAGAAGGGGTTACACTGTCTGTTACAATTACTAAAGATTGCACCTTTCTCATAAGAAGTCGGGGACACTCTGCAATAGCCAGACCTGAAACTGTGATCATAGTCATCTTGAAAGAGAGCTTTTCAAAATGACCCATGGATTAGATCGATCTAGATGAGAGCTGCAGTCGGGACGGGAAAGCCCCTTTGACTCTGATTGTAGAGCTTGATTCAAAAGCCACATGGTCAGAGTGAAGTGGTCAGGGCCCGATGGATGGACTCGGCTATATAATCCAAGTTACGCCCGTTGATTGCGCTCACATTGAGACAGCCGCTGGGGAGCAGGTACACATGTCTCCTCTGGGACAGAAACTCTACCTGATCCTCTGTATGAGGGAAGAAACAGGAGACATGTTGGTAAAGCACATCATTATCTTTGATTAAAGCTTTTTTTGTTTCATTGTAAAATAAATGAGATTATAACGCAGTGTCCACGCGGTGGCGTGCGTTGAAGCTTGCCGGCAGGCATGTCTGAAACTCGACCAACAACCAATCACATGAATCTCCCGCCCCGGACTCACAAGCACGCGGTTTGATTGGCTAGAGCTTCCATCGAAGCTTCAAAAGTTGAACATTGCTCAACTTTTGAAGCGAGCAACGCGAAGCGACGGAACCACAATGCAGTTCGGCAAAGCGTGACGTCACCCCATTCAAAGTGAATGGGCAGAAGCGTTGAAGCTTCAACGCACGCCGCTGTGTGGACGGGCCGAAAGAAAAATAGTTAGGATCTAACCAGAAGTGCAAAAGATGCAGTAAAATGAAGAGTAATGTATAGTAAAAAAAATGTTGGGTTCAAAATCTCACTTTATTTATTTATTTGCATTTTAAGAAAATATTCATAAAGCATACATAACAAAATAAACACAACTAGGTACATAGATTAACTACATAACAGATGACAAGTACGAAAATAAATGATAAGATAATAGTAATAATAATATTACAAACAAAAGAATGGATAGACTGTTAATACTCAGGTATTTATTAATTATATTGTTCTATATTTGACCCATCTTTCCCACCTTTCCTCAAAGATATGCATTTGGTTTCTAATTCTCATAGTTGTTTTCTGCATTACATTCATTTCGACTGATTTCCTTGCTTTTTCATTTTGTTTTTTCCTAAATGAGGCAATGTACTGTAAAGGTATAAACATATGACAGATCTAAAAAAGCTCCGGTATTAATGGGTATTACAACTATAAATTGAATTCACTAGAGAGCTGCTATACATGTAGACAGTATAATATACTGTAGAGATTATAGACTAAATAAATATGAATACGCTATACGGTATATATACACTCTATATATTTTGGGCAGTTTTTAGTTTTTTGAAGGCAGCTTTTGGCACCGGGTAAATAGGTTAATGTTTCATACACAGGGCAAGAAAAGCTGTTGTTCATTCCATTCTGGGATTTTCAGAAAGAGAATAAAGCACAAACCATATTCCTGCCTCGACATCTGGTGTAATCCCTGTGTTCGATTTCTGAAAACTGCAGAATGTCTGCCATGTGTCCACCAACAGTGCAGTCTGCTACTCACCATTCAATCCGGTGTTACAGTAGAGTCCGCTCTGTTGAGTCAGACGGTCCCAACAGCCTGGAGCTCCCAGAAGCCTCAGCCTTTCTCTCAACAGCTCTCTGATCAGCATACATCGCTCCACAATGTGCTTCACTTCTTCCTTCCTGGGAAACAGAAAACATTGACAGCATTTGGAAAATAATATCTGAAGTGTATAGTTGAAATATCTGCATAACATGATAGATCCAGTAAGCTACACTTTGTACATTAAGGTTAATAAAACACTGCAAGTTCGATTGTATGAAGCTTTGCAGGCTTGTAGGCAGTGTTGGCATGTAACTATGTGAATTAATTAAAGCACAATGATGAGGTATTTGTACTTTACATGAGTATTATCGTTTTACACAAAGGGAAATATTGTACTTTTTACTTTACTATATACATTTATTTTACATTTTAGTTACCAGTTACTTTACAAATCAAGATGTTTGCATAAAAAACACAGGCGTTCATAAAATATAAGATTTAGTTGTATAATTTACCAAGCCAACAGTTAATACAAGAACAGCTTAGTTGATTAATCTAGCCAATTAAGAGATAATTAATGGGCATTTATAGACATTTAGTTAATTTCCAATTGTATTTTGAATTATTTTGTTGTTATTCTGTTTGCTATTTTAATTTATGTTAGTGTAGATTTTTGTTTAAATTGGTTAGATTTAATATTTGAACTTCATCTTGCTGATTTGACCCACTTACTTTAACTTAAGTACCATTTCCAATGCAGTAATTTTACTTGTGACAGAGTGTTTTTATAGTGTGGCATTATTACTTGCACCACTGTCTGTAGGAATGACGGAGAAAGTCCAGCCATCTCTGTAGACATCTACTGATACAGCAGCAATGTGGCTGCGCAGGTAACATTCTTTAAATACTTTATTTTAATTGGAGCGCGACTCACCATTCAACAACATGTGCTGGGTTACTGAGCACTGTGGCCACAATATTTGCTCCTCCTGCGGACGGCTGTGCCCACAGTGACTTGACTATTGTGGCAGCTTGAGACTGCACAGATAACAGGAGGGAGTTCTGCTTCAACACGCACAGCAGGTGACCGACAGCCTCGCCTGGAGAAGACAAGGAGAAGATGACTCTGATGCGAGGGAAACACTTTGTTCCAACAATAATGATGTTATGTTATACTCATTTTCTCTGTTACTGGAATTGGAAATAAAGTGGAAGTGGGACACTTTTGAAATAGAAGATAACAAAATGCTTTAAAGTCTGCGCAAATGAAATAGGACAAACAGAAACAAGCAGAAAGCGTCACTTTGACTCCATAGGTAATATAAGCATTTTCTGGCATGGGTAAGACACATTAAAAGGGGTCCTTTTATGCTTATTGGGTTGTCCCTTTCCTGTAGTATGTTATAAAGGTTTGTGTGCATGTACATGGTCTTCAAAGGCTGAAATCCCAAAGTTCCCAGAGGGAGTTTCTCTCCCACGCTATACAGTCATACTCTTAACATGACTTACTCACCATATAGTCCGAAGCAGTGGGAGAAGGACTGAGCACAGAGCAGCTCCATCCCCTGCGAGGCGCAGTAATGAACAGGCCAGGCCGCCCGCTCCACATTTCCATAGCAGAGCGCCTGAGGAGGCAGCAAGAGGAACGGAAAAAGCCTGCGCCTCTATTTAAAGATTGACAAGACAGCAAATAATGATTTAAGTAGGAGAGAAAAGCCACTTGTCGGATCATTTTAGTTCTTTGTTAAAGAAAAGGCGGGCAGGGAAGATAGTGGCCGACCCCTGCCACCCTGGACACAAACTGTTCACCCCCCTCCCCCCTGGCAGGAGGCTGTGCTCCATCAGGACCAAAACCTCTCGCCACCTGAACAGTTTCTTCCCCTCCCCTACCGGCCTCTTAAACAAGGCCCGGCCCCCCCACTGACACAACGTAGACTCTATATGCATTACATTAATGCACACAATGTTCAAATACTGCTTACTGCATATATTCTTATTTCATATTTTATATTCTATAACTCAATTCCATTTCGCTGTAAATTACTGCTGTATTTTATTGCTTTTTAACTATATGTTATTACAATGTCCTTAAAGATTTGTTGTTTTATATTAGATTTGTTGTTTTATATGGAGATTCTTTGTTTTATATTTTATGTATGCACCATGACATCAAGTCAAATTCCTCGTATGTGTGAACCTACCTGGTAATAAACCCGTTTCTGATTCTGATTCTGAAGTGGACAAGTCAGTTACCATGATGAGTTCTGTAATCACAGCCCATTGATTGTGAGAGAGGTCTGCTCCGGTGGGATAGTGTGCAGACGCTGACAGAACAACAACGCTTCGCTCCGGAGCCTTCTCCAGATCCTCCAGCAGCTTATCCAAGCAAACGCCCCGCTGCTGGTCATCCCAGTAATAATACTCCCGGATATCTTGGATCCCCGCTGCCTGGAAGATACCAGCCAAAGAGTCTGCAGGAGGATCAGGAACAAGCATTATATTAGACACCTAAAGCAGTACGAACTCCTCAAGATCAATGCTGCTTTGAACTGTGGGTAATCTGTAGCTACCCCTGATGTTGTGAATCATTTGGTATCAGTTCATATGAAGACCTAAGCTACACTGCATGATAAGATCATAGTGAATTATAATGCTTTCGGCTCCCCTTTTAACACGCACTGCTTTCTGATGCACTTTTTCAATAGTCATAAAACATTATGTGATTTAAAAGTGTCTTTTTGTTGCTAGAAACTAGTTCTAACCTATATATTGACTGAAGGGGCTTATTGTACATTATGAATACCTTTAAGTCCATGTTGCATGCTCCATCATAACATTTCCTCATTTGTGTTAAGTGCAATGTATTTTCAGATGTGTAAAAGAATATATGCTGCATGATAAGTGATTATTAACAGATACTAGGTATCATATGCCCCCTCAGCCAACCTCTACTTTATCACCGGTCCATAAAACATTATAATTCATCATCAAGCTGAATGTGAGTTTATGAGGAAGTTTTTCCTTGTACGATGTGAGGGTCTAAGGACAGAGGGTATTGTCATACTGATATTCTGTACAAACTGTGAAGTCCACTGAGACAAATGTAATATTTGTGATATTGGGCTATATAAATAAACATTGATTAATTGATTGATTGATTGATTGATTGATTGATTGATTGATTGATTGATTGATTGATTGATTGATTGATTGAGTGAATGTGGAGGATTATAAATACATTTTAATTTACTTTGAATGCCCTAATGTGATACCATTTATTTATTTTGAAAGTAATTTGATTATGCATTCTTTGAAGCTCCAGTCTGAGCTGCATTGGTAATGTCAAAACTGCTTTACCTACCATATGTCACAGTAATGCACATTGTTATGGATACAGCCAACGAAATACAATGCAATCACCATACCAGAATTATTAGCTACATTGTGTTATTTCTGTCTCAAGAGCTTAATCTAATGTGCAGCAGAATTTAAAGCCAACACAACATTTGGTTGTATCTTAAAATGCTGTTAAGAAGAAGTTAAAATTACCGTCACAGGGGGAAGAGAGGTATACTGGCCCACACCAAGCGGCACAGTGATCGTACCAATTTCTCAAGAGTTCAGCCCCAAGTCGCACAGCAGCGGTGAAACCAGGAGTCTGAACACCTAACACCTGCAACACAATCATAAAACACCCAGAGTTAAGTTAATATCATCACTGATGGAAAACATGATAGAGTTTTTAGTTTTATCCCTGAGTAGAGCACACATTTTTGATATAATATGTTGGTTTCTTCTTTTTTATGTTTATATCCTTCTGTTGTGTGACATGATATACTTGTGAGGGAAATTACCGAAGCAATTGGGAGTCAGGACTCAGAGAGACACGAGGAGAGCTGGAGCTTTGATGGCAAACACTGACGGTTTATCTGGAGCTTCGGCCGGAGAATTCACAAGACATGTCACGGGCCACGAACTGACCACAGGATAGAGATGCCACAATCAATTCTGAAGAACCCTCCTGTAGTTCTAGGTCTTAACTAGTTCAGAGTGTAATAATCAACATTCTTCAATAGATAGACTAAACAGCTGAGGACACTGAATCACAGTTGTTGTTGCTTATCACTCGGGGTCATCTACACCCAGAGAAGGATGTGTGCAGGTGTCCCACAACAATAACTATCTCTGACAGAGAGTTGCCCGGTCATAAACTGGTAACAACAACAACTTGCTAGGGCAGCCCCTCCTTATGGGAGATAACGGCTGCTCATGGTTGGTCAGCTGCGTCAGAGGGCAAAAGGTAAACATGTAGGGCGATGTTATTCCCTGACAATACTTACATATTGATATTTATCTTATATTTATTTGGTTGTATATATTTATTTATTGCCATGGCATTTGATGTTGAGCTTATCCAAAAGTAACAGAGAGTAATCAGGTTACATTCATAGTATTATGTGATACCTAGATAAGTTACTGATTACATCTCTTTTTACCAGGTAACTATTAATTGTGTCCGAGTACATTTTTAAAAGTAACCCTCCCAACCATGATAGTGATTTATGCTGAAGATAGACGTGAATGTATTTTATTATTTTTATTTGATTTATTATGTTATTTATTTGTATTTGTATTAATATGTTGTCTGTGACCATGACCTAATTAGGGGTAGGGGATGGGTATTTTTCTTTCCTTTAACAGACACATTCTTCTGTCCTTCAGAAGACGTGAATCATTCAGTGCTGATTGATAGGATAAGGTAAATGCTACTGCTTGATTTTCAGAGTACTGTGCAAACTGAGGTGTAATTATATAACTTATCTCCAATCAGTATAAATATAGCTGAGATTACCCGTTCTTCCACTATAGCCCGAGAGCTTTTCCCTAAAGCAACCTCTGTGGCTCGCCTGGTGAACTCTGTTAGGCCGAGGGGAGACGGATACTCCGGGCGAGTGGTGGGATCAGCGCTTAGCTGTTGCTTTATTCTTCTAACAAGACGCAGTTCAAAGGTCTTTCCATCCTCGCTGTAATACTCTGCAAAAGACAGTTATAGGAATATTGTCATCCAACCAAACACTGTATTCAAACTGTCAAACATCATTTTGGAAAAGAAAAGTTACAACCAACACATCTGTGATTAAGACTCTCAAGCCCACGCAACATTTGAATTAGGACACACTGTGCTTTTTAGTTTTAATGTAGTATGTGTAATGTCATCTAACAAACAAGCTTTTTAGTTTGAATAATGTCATCTACTGTAGAACAAACAAGCGGCAACATTCAGGTGAACAGTGTAAACCAAAGTGGTAAAGTAAATATTCTCTGACAATAGGCTTAGAAATTGTGGCTGATATTTTTCTGTGTGTGTCTAGTTAAAGATTATTATTTAGCCATTAACAAAGTAATAAAGTTAAAAGATGGTGGATTGCAGGGCGTAATGTCTGTAAACCTCCAGATCGAGTCAGTAATTCAATGAAGTATTTAAAAGTAAATAGACAACAGGTGTCAGCAGTTAAAGTGTTATGCTCTGATCATTGAAAGCTGATGGAGCCACGTGATTATTATTATCTTTTCCATTAAACATATTCTACATACATTAACATGCAAACAATATATTATGCAACATTTATGTTTGCAAAATGAATGGCAATTGAAGGGGGATTCATATAATATTATAGATACAAATATATCAATAGGCTACAATGTTATTTCTTAATCTCTAGACATAGAAGACAATCTGCAACCAGGTGAATGATGTTCACATATTAATATTATAATCTAGATATTTTTTCCCGGATGTTGTTCTATCCAACAAAATGTAGTGGAGTAGAAATATAAAGCAGCATGAAATGGAAATACTCAAGTAAAGTACAGGTCCTTCAGAATTGTACAGCACAGTAGAGTACTTGAGTACATTTACTTAGTTACTTCCCACCTCTATTCGTTACCTGTGTTGCATTGTAAACCTGTCCTTGTGTTTTTATTATTGTGTCAATAAAGTTTTCACAAAAAATAAGATTTCAAGTTTAAAACAAGATATTAAACCGAGCTAAATTAATGTGTATACGAGCAAACTCACCTCTCCCTGCCAGGTAAGCCTTCCCGGGGTTTGTGTCTTTCTTAAAGGCGGACAGAAGTCTTTTCTCGGGACTTCCTGCCGCGGTGTGAACATTGGTAAACACAGAGAGATGACCACCTGCGTCGCCATTTTGCTTCACCTCTGTTTCGTTAAGTTTGCTGTCCGGTCGCTTCATCTTCTTCATCCCAGTGAGGCAAAGCAGCCCTTTTGTTTGGCCACTGTTGCCAGGATACTGCACGTAGTTGGATACCGTTACCGCGGCAACGGTGATGGGTGAGTTTATCAGTCTAATTCGGTGAGTTTACTTTCGCCATCACAGCGAGCTTTCTTCAAATAGGCCTACAGTAGAAAGCCTGTCTAGACATGAAAGGATCAGTTTAGGTGAAGGCGAGGACAGAAATCCCAAATGTGTTACACTGAGCCTCTGACAATAAATCAGCTCTGACACTGACAATAAAGCAGCTCAAAGAGGGCCCTCTTCATTAGGGTGTGTGTTGGAGGTTCTACAAAAGGCCTGCTGAAGCCTCACTAAATGAAAGAAGAACCAATGACGTGGACAGCAAGTCAAGAGTCATTTAATTTAATTTAACTAGAGTGTTGCTGGAACAATGTGGCCTCGAGTCCATTAGCTTTTTTAAGGAACCCCTAATTAAACCCTCGTTTTATACTGTGTGCAGTAGAGTGTTCCCTGTCTGTGTTTTACCATTACCTTTTTTTAAACATGAAAGCATACAACTATTTAAGCATACATCAACACAACAAACATGCCATTAACATTAGGGACAACAGTCATAGGACATATAATCAAGAGGTCCAGATTAGCATATATATTTTTCTATATGTTCTTGCAAGGATTTCTCGCTTTAATGGGTTTCAGTGACCCTGGTGGACAGTAACTCGAGTAATGTACTTCTATTTTGAAGTACATGAAACTTGAATATTTCCATTTAATGCAACTTTATACTGTTCTTTTTCTTCTCTACTATATTTATTAAACAGCTTTAGCTACTTTTAGGAAAATGAAAATGAAACCAGTGGACAACTCAAAAGAGTCCAATTATTTAAAGATTTGACAAAAAAGTCAATCAGAACTTTGTTTGTCTCCAACAGTAAGATCCTATACTTGATGCAACAATATTATTTAAAATGGTCATATATAATTATATACGTATCACACATATAGAGGCTATCTTCTGCAGAATGACTACTTTGACTTTTTATACTTTAAGTACATGTTGCTGATAATATTTAATACTACTTTTACTTTAGAAAGATTTTGAATGAAGGACTTTTACTTGTAATGGACTGGAGTATATTTTGACAATCTGAATACTTCTTCCACCACTGCTCATAAACAAGGTATTGGTGCAAAGCAGAGATTTTGAGGACATTTTAGTGATCAGGCTTGCATCTAGAATGTGGAATTATATTTCCTTTAAATATGAGTAATATTCAGCATGCAGATCACACTTTCTAACTCAGATTCCTATACAAAAAATATATATCTAGCTTCTGCTTCTCTTCCTAGGGATGAAGAAGAAGCACTGAACCTCACAGTTAATGCAAACCAAAATCAAAGTCATCATCTTCTATTATATGTAAGAAGTTCCATAGTGCACTTTATGCAGCTGGTAATCACACATTAATGCACTAGATGGCAGTAGATGGCCAAATTGGCTTGTTAGGCAATTAGCTGAACAGGAGTCATTAAAGCACGTGTCAAACTCAAGGCCCGGGGGCCAAATCAGGCCCGTGGTGGATTTAATTTCGGCCCGCAGGATAATTTCTAATTACTATTAGATCTGGCCCGCCGGTATATTGCACGCACACCTTCACTCAATCCTGAGGGTCTCCTCCGCTCAGAGCCTGAGCCCAAACATTGATGAACTTTCACCCAGGATGCGATGCCAAGTATCTGCTTGAACTAGCATCACAGAGCAAACTGAGTTTAATGGATGTTTCCTTCTGCACTTTGTTTCTTGAGACAACAGGGAGTGTTTGTTTTGTTCTTTGAGGGGAATTGTTTTGTTGAAGCTGTTGTTGGCCTGTGGAAAAATGTAACCATAAGAAATGACTCCGGAAAAGCTGCAGATAGAGCCATAAGAAATGAATGCAACTGATTATTTAATGTTGTTTTTATAGGCAATAATTTAAGCTTTGTTAGTTCCAGGTTTAATATGTGCAATAAGTTCATTTCAATAAGTTTTGCAATAAACATTGAACCAGTCCGGGCCTCGACTAGTACCCATTTTTTTATTTTGGCCCACTGTGTATTTCAGTTTGACAACCCTGCTCTAAAGTAATTGAAGAAACACACTTTTTCTTAGAGTGCCTTCACTACTGTGTAATTTCTCAGAGTATACTTTCAGAGAATCAGCTAGAGCAACTCAAACCTTTCTACCCTGCACGGCCAGTCGTGCTTATTGTCAGCTTATTATTTGAAACAGTATAGTATAACATTCACAGCACGACACAAGCCTTTCCTCCTCTTCCTGGCTTGACGTGTCCACAGAAAACCCATCACAACTCTACATGCACCTGATCAGCGGTACTGTGAGGAATATAAAGATTTGAGAGAGGTCTTCTTCAAAGAAAATAAAGAATATGTATCCTGTGTTTATCCATCTCCCCTATCCTCAGAAACTGCCAACTCTATGAGGGGAAAGTCAGCGGGCAGTATTATCTGCAAAAAAACACAAACAGACAAACAGTTGTAGTTTAATGTTTCTAAGGGATTATCAGTGCATTTACCACTGCTGCAATAATTGTTATTTCATGCATTATTAGGCATTTTTGTATATTTATTGCGTATCATCTGTCATAATATGAATCACTTTCCCTACTGTTATATTGGTTTGTTATAATGCATTCATTCATAAAGCTTACAGACATGCAGGCAGATATAACATGAACCTTTTCAAAATGCATTGAAAAAAAGTCCACAATTTATTTTTAAAAAGGAAAGTAAACCAATTTTTGAAATGATTGAGACATTTGTTGTGACAGCTGTCGGCAGAATTTTTTTTATTTTTGTTATTTCAGTGATGTATATTTTCCTTTCCTTTTTGAACATCAGTGCATTTTATTCTGAGGCAGCGACAACACCATTGACCTCCCATTCGATTTTCTTTCCCTGTGTTCCTCCCATCGCGCTGTATTTTGGCAGCAGTTGAAATATCTGTGTGATGTCAGGTTATCTGTGTTTGCCCAGCTGTCCATTACAGTCAAACAACAAAATGGGTACAGAAACACAGGTACAAAGGGAACAGCAATTCAATCAGGAGAGACAGTTTTGATGTAAGAATACATATTTATTGCCAGAAATACACAATGAATGTAATGGAGTTTTGGCGATTAGGCCTCGTTGTGCGGGAGTATCATTCGGGAGGGTAGAACCGATCCGATGAAACCCCCCGTGGTCTAGACACTGGTGGTGGTGAATGATAGGGTCGGTCTGAAGAGGAGTGGCTTAGCTTGACCCTGGATTCAGAGGGACCGGAGGTGAAAAGGGGTGGAGGAGGGTTGCGTCGAGTCACCTGAAATGACAGCTGTCAGAGGGGAGAGCAGATTTTAAAGGTTTAGCAGAGCGCTGTGATAGTTAGAGCAAAGTGATTAAGCTGGGGAGTGACGCCCCCGATCACTTATTGAGAGGAGAGAGAGTAGTAAAATAGTAAATGACGAGTAAAGACGGTCTTCATAGTTGAACTTGCGCTGAGCTTCATAAGTCCAAAACATACAGATTCTATCAGAGAAAGACTCATGGGTTATTATGGCTATTAAACTGTAATATCAGGATGCTATTATTACATTGAGCAGTGAGAAAGAGGATGCCATGGCGGGGAATGTACGCTCGACCCATTGGCATGTGCCCCAGTCATGCCACCATATTACCGGGAAGAAACTACAACACTTAATCTAATTAAGGGGATTTTGACTCAATTAGATGAAATGGTCCTAACTGGTGAGCTTTGAAGTCTTAGTTTAGGGTTAATGGACTCCGCTTTTTGGCTCAGATGCCCGACCAGTTCTGGAAGTGTCTGTCTGGCCTGAAGAAAAATCTGTTGTGACACTTTCTCAGGATAAGTGATTGGCAGTCTAGTAATAGCTGCAATCAAGAGAAGAAAACTGCACACTGAAAAGAAGATATCAGAGATTGGATCTTTTCATCAAACTCAAGAGTTCATTCAGAGTTGTTTTGAGTAATAGGAAAGATTGGAAGAACAGATTGTTGTTTTGCACATATTACAAAAACAAGTGAAGTCGTATCTTCCCCCTCCCCTCGTAACCCATCGTCTGCACCCTCCCAAAATCCGATACATAGACATGTATTTAAACACACGGATGAACAGACAGAAGAACTGACTGAAGCTAAGATGACAAACAGTTACACAAATGGGCAAATGAAGTGAAAAAAGGTGGTGCAGGATAAGTAAAAACTATTGGGGAAAAAAAGAAAGGAAAAAAGAAAAACAACCTTTATATATTATAATAATACTACTAATTATAGTTATCTTAATAATACATATTTTTTAAACACGGCTTTTGAGAATGATTCCAGTAAAGCAACACACCAAATGTTAGTTTCAATTCAGAATGACTAATACACAGCTTTTCTTTGGATCACATTGGATTTTTTTTTTTTTAAAAAGCTCCATACCTTCATATGTTTATGTGAAATATTTAACATATCTGTATTATTGTCCTAATAGGTTGAACATAGTTTGTCGGAGATTCCTAACCATCACCCCAATGTCTCTCTGGTGATTTCTTATCAAATCAACCAACATGGCCAATTTCTTCTGAGTTAAGTATTCAGTATTGTTTGATTGAATTAGTGCTGTATTTAAATCTTATCAAATACTCTAGTTCTAATTTAGTACAAGCTTCTCTTTCTCTTTGTGAAAGTTTGAATCTGATATCAATCTAACTCTGCTAATGGAACATTTTGTAACGGGAATCAGCTGATCAAAACCTCAGTAGGATAATTGTTCTCTCGATATTTCAGTGGTCACAGTGCCTACATGGCAAAGATTCAACATTTAGTAAATTCCTTTTATAACATAACATGATGTCTGCTCAAACAATAGCAGAGCCAAATGGGATTTTGTTTCAAGTTTATAGTTAACTTTTGGGATTTGGGCCATTGTGACTGACAGAATGACTAATCGAATGAATAAGGTCAACACAATTGTAAACTGTTTTTTTTACCTTATTCAGGCTGGATTAGTTAATAGTAGGACTGGCTGTTTTTTCCTGTGAGTCGGTGTGTCATCTCAGCAAAATTTGGAAAATAACTGAAAAGCCATTATGTGGCCGGCTATGTCTTTATATTATCTGTATGTCTGTCAAAATGTGTAACTGCAATAGCATCACAAAATAGCTGGATGTAGTCAGGACACTTTACAGAGGATAACAAAGGTCCAGATGGTTCAATGAGGGGGAACACAGACCTTTGTATAGTTAGGTTCAGAATAAAAGCTAAGTTTGAAGATGTGTGTGGTCAAAGGGGGAAAGGAAGTATGGCTCCACATTTAATCCAAATGTTATTGAAACTGTAATATGGACAAATACAATGTCCAAAATATGTGAAGATATTGTAAAGGTATTGTGGTGCTGCAGAGAAGTCCTGGCCCACCTGTATTCAGAAGAAAATCACACCGAGATCATTTTATAATATTTTTCAATAATAATGTGAATACTGTTTTAAAAATGACTCTTCTCTCTTATATCACAAACATATCGCAATTGCCATACCAGTCAAACATAATAGAGCCATATTAGGAAGAGGCCAATCTATTTTTCTACTGTGCGTACTCGAATAATGCTGTTTGTATTTAATATTGGACACTGGAACTTCCTATTAAAAATGAAATGACATTACATTTCCAAGAGGCGATTTGCAACATATATGAATCGAGATAAATCGGTTTCAAAGTAAAATATTTTAATGCTATCAACTCAGTAGTTTTAAAATGTCAACATATTGCACTCATTTTTTGTGGCAGTGAATTTGCATACAGAGCATACATGAACAATATTACACAGTTTCAATGCAACAGATGATGTGCGTAATAACACACAACAAGGTGTCCGGATATAACAAAAATAATGATTTTTCCTCCATTGTCCATTATTTCTCTATATTTGGACATTTCAGAGTGTGTTATTGAGCCAAGGTAGGGTGTGACTGATAACATAGCATGTAGCAGATGTGTTTTCTTATCTGAACCTGCAATTTGTAACTGTACCTTTTTTAGAAAAATATTTATGACTGTTAATGTTTAAAGAACTTATGTTAAGGTTGTGCCGATAACATATTACCTGCCAGTCAATCAGAATTGAAAACAAATCCATAACCCTACTGGATTTAAAAAGGATAGTATTGTGTGACTTTAACGCTTGAAACAGAAAGATTAAGACTGAAGACATACATCAGAATTTAACATTTAAATGCAAAGCCCTTTAGTTTAGCTTATATTACACTGACAGTGACGACCATAGCAGAACCACCACTTTGTATTAAGTTAGAAAATGTTGTATTCAGTGTATCATAAATAGATAACTTACCAGATAATATACTGTACAAAATTAGCTCGTACTTTTGACACCACAAGTCACATACACTGTCCAAAGGTTATCTGGAATGCGTTTAAAACATCATCGTCTCATTCAGGATACCTTGGTGTCACTTATTGTCTGTGATTCGAGCTACAGCAGTCCATTTCCTGTCTTCAGAGACATGTCCCCTCCTGACCAAATCCGCTTTTTTCTCTACAGTCAATCCCGTCGTCTCTTCGGGGTTATCAGTGCCGGTGGTTGGACGTTTCCTCAGCTCTTCCGGCCTTAGCAGGGACGCACAGTAACCAACTGCAGTTTGCTTCAGTAGCTTGACATTAGACAGTTCATCAATCCTTCTCCTGCAATGTGAAGCTGAAAATAGATGGACAGAAGACAGGTGAATACCACATATTTACAGACACATTTCAACTCCACTATAAATCAACACATATGTTGTCATGTCTTAATTATCTGATTCAACTCAGAAATGCAAAATCTAGAATAGAATAGAATCCTTTATTGTCATTATATAGGTACATTAGGCGCTTTCCCACCGAAGTACTTTTCCCAGTATAGTTCCGATATAGTTCCGAAAATGTGCGTTCACACCAAAAAAATCCGGAACTAGAACTTAGTTCATGAGAATCTTTCCACCCCCCTTTCAGTCCCTGCTAGAGAGCAGGTACTTTCGTGTGAGAAAAAGTTTCCCATTTCTGATTGGCTGGGCGGATTGCAAACCACGCCCCGTAAAACTCCCAAAAAGTTTAGTGAAGCCGCCATTTTATTTGCTGGCATTGGCATATCTCATGAACTAAGTACGGCAAAATACTTGGTGTGAAAGCGCCTTATGAGATGAGTAGAGCTACTCCTTTTTTTAAGGTGCCAACAAAAATACAAAAGACTTACAACAACGTACAAACAACAAGCATTCATATTTCAATATGCAGATAAAGTTAAAGTGCAGGAATATATCGGGTTAAGTAAAAATCGTATTCTGACTTCGTTATTAAGAAATAGATCAGGGTGCTCAAACTCAATTTCATCGCGGGCCACATTAGCATTATGGTTGCACTCAAAGGGCCGGTTGTAACTATATAAATATATAAATATATAATATATATACAAAATAATGTATTATATTACATTATTGCCTCTGAATTGGATTATTATCGGATAGTTAGTAACTAGAGAATGCAATTCCTGAAGAAATTGCTAGTGGGAATGCTTTATGCTAAAAAGCTGACGCTAAACTGCTATGCTGAAATGTAATGTGTAAGAATAAAGTGAATAATTTAGATTGAAATGATACATGAACACTGGGGGCTTGAATGTGTGATAAGAGAAGAAAAGAAAGTAAAAAGGCTTAGAAAAGCAGCAGAATATTTGAACTGCAAACTTTTGAACTAACTTGATGGCGAATGATCTGTCGCCATGCCAACGCTATTTGATGACAACCCATAATACGCTTAGATGCGCTGATGGCTGCATCGTTGCCAAACCTGTGAAGTTTTGGGCCGTTTTTAGCATTTTCACTTAAGTTATGAGAAAACCGTGTTTCATGGTGAGCATTGTGTTGCCATGGCAACGACATTTGAAGGAATCTAAAAAATGTCCCGTAGATGTCTTCACGGCTGGACTGTTAGCACACATGTGAAGTTTGAGCACTTTTTGAACATTTTCATAGGATGTATAGCGACATCGTCTTTTATGGCGAGGGATGCATTTCCATGGAAACGGCATATGATGAGCTGTTGAGGGCTGGACCGTTAACCATTATCTGAAGTCTGGTGCTCTGAGCATGTCAGTTGGAGTTATGACATCATCGTGTTCCATGACACCGGTGTTTATATTTGAGCTAACGACGTGTGCAGAGATCAAAGGTTTCCATGGTGATGTGCAGTAATCAGTGAGAGGAGAGCATTTTCATTGTTCTGAATGAGAGATAAACCTCTTACATGTGAACGTTTTGTTGAAGAACCGTAACAGATATCGGTGAAATTTCAAAGCGTGAAGCATGTCAAGGAACATCTGAAGTGTACTTTTTGTGTACCTTCGGGTTAATAATGTGGCCTTTTTGGCAGATTAACTAAAGGTGTGCGGCTGCTGTGGTGGGGAAAGATGAGGCTGAACTTACAATGGGGTTTAATGGAGACATGTTGAACGTTTTTGTCACTTCATGCCCTCAAGAGGCATTTTGTTTAATTATTTTGCTTAATTATTTTTTACTTTTTCAAGCTACGAGATGTTTTCCTACGTTTCTCATAAAGAAGTATGTCTCAGGAATGTAGGGTTTTGGGAATGGCAGGTTTAAAAGAAAATATGAAGGCAAAATTAAATCTGTCCTCCACTCTAGCTGTGACATCACGCACTCTAAAATCTGAAGAAGGCCTCTTTACCAAGGTCTGAACAATGTTTAATATCTCTAAAAGTACGAATCAGATTTAAAAGTTGTTACACGAATGATGTCAGAAAGATGTGTAACATTTTAAAGTTGGAATGAGGTTTCTGAGTGAAAGTATGAAGGAGCAGTTAGCAGGTGAAGTTGCATGAAGATTGTTCAAGTTTGAAGAGTTTCTCCATTGACTTCCATGTTAAAAATGTGATGAATTATGGGATGTATCTCTGGAATTATGAAAGTTATGAATGAGAAAAGTAATAGCCATCGATTCCCAACCGAGCTGAACGTTTTGATGTTTGGAGTTTCTGCGATGTGGAATGTGGGAGAAGAAGAGGCGCAAAATAACCCGGCGGAATAATAAAGAATTTTGTGCGTAGCATAACAGATAGTTGGAATGCCGTACCAACTACGTCTGAAAGCAGAAGTCCAGGGCAAATAATTGCAATTCTCTCAAATGTCAAAAACAAGATGCATTGTGGGACATGTAGTTTATGGGCAACCTGCTTCTGTAAAGTGGTATGTAACCATATAATAAACGTATTATATTCTTTGCAAGCTCTTGCGGGCCACGTAAAATGAAGTCGCGGGCTGGATTTGGCCCCCGGGCCTTGAGTTTGACACCCCTGGTATAGATCTTTTTAAATTCTTGTTTGATATGTACATTCACAGTCAGGATTGCTTTTTACATTTAGTTGTAGCAGGTGCATTGCCAAGTTTTATTGTATATATGTTAAATGATTAACATTAAAACAGTTTGTTACCGGTCAGACTAAATGAAGATAATTCTAGTCTCTAAATTGATAGACAGTATGTAGACACAATGAAAATGCCCACAATGCCAACATTCAACAGTGAGAATGTCACTACTTTTATAATAATAATAATAATACATGTGATTTTTATAGCGCTTTCCCTAATGCTCAAAAACGCTTAATGCTTTATACTATTTATATACTATTTTTTTAACTTCATTGATAAAAAGCACCTGATGCCAAGGTTATCACATTATTACCTCAACTTACGACTTAGCGTGCAGTTGTGATCCCATAAACAATTAGTTTTTTCTGTGTATGACTCTTTGTCTCGATCTTATCATACCCTGAACAGCATTCCAGTTTCTATCAGATAAGAAAGGTCACATGTTATTCCCTTTTATTTACTTGTTAATTACAAAGCCATTGCTCGGCCACCCTCATCATTTTTATGTTTTGTGAAACTCCCTAGCAAGACAGGAATTCTGATGCTATCACCTCCACTACATGTCTCCACAGGAAGACATAAACTACCCAGAACTTCACAGAAATGTGACTGCATACAGGAAGAAAAAACATACGCAGGATACAGTCAACAATATGTGTTCATCAGATCCCTATAGTGTTATGGAAAATAACTCTTTGTACAATATGTCAAGAATAATCAGTGTAGTCTGTGGTAGGGCTGCACGATTTGGGAAATAATCTAATTGCGATTTTTCTGACAGATATTGCGATTCGATTTGCGATATTTGTTTTTAAGCGACCCAACGGAAGTTTATTGTAAAATCCAGCCATATCTCCGGCTAGGAAGGTCGCATCAACGTGCTCCCGTCTCTAGCGCCCCCGCAGCCCGAGCTACGAGTGAAAGAACTCAACTTACATGAAACTTCCGTTGGGTTGCTTTAAAGCAGTGGTTCTCAAACTTTTTCTGTCAGGCCCCCCCTTTGGAGAAAGAAAAAAAAGTCGGGCCCCCCCAACACAAATAGTCAGGCTCAGTGACGGTGCCAGAGATTTATTTTGGGGGTGCTGTCGGGTAGCTTGACGTTTCATAGAGGGTGCTCAAACATTTAGGGTTTCCCATTAATGTACCGGGCGCTACAGTGGAATTTTCTACTGCAACACTCCCCACGCATACACACAGTGTACCCGCGACTGTCACAATGAAGGCTCGATAATCAGCTCACGGCATATAGGTGTAAGCAGGGGTAAAGTGCTATTTTTACAGGTGGTGTGTGGACCTCACATAGGGGGGTCCGGGGGCAAGCTCCCCCGGGAAGATTTATTTTTAAATATTGAAGTTAAAAGCATCGATCTGGTGCACTTTGAGAGCAAAATGAAGAGATCTATGGATACCTCTCTCAACACCCATATGAAACAGAACTGTTAACAGATTTGCTTTTTCTTTATGGATATTTTAAAAACCACCCTTTTAAACTTTATTCTTGTTTTACTGTCATATAGTATTTCATACCCGTTTTTCATTTATTCTCTTATTTTTGTATAACTATAATGATCATATAAACGTGTGCCTCGGAAATAATTGTTTACATTAATGGTGACCAAAACATTTGAGACCCACTGAGATAACACTGAGAGAGTCCTGATAACACTGAATGTCCTTTAGCTCACTGAGTCTCTCAGTCTCACAGGAGAGGACTCTCCTCCACTTTGTTGTTGAAAAAACTCCTTATATCCGTTAGCGCAGCTCGCTAGCGCCAGAAGCTAACAACAACGATCTCCAGTACCGGTGCGCTCTCTCTCTCGCTCGCGCACACAAAATGGCTCGTTCCACACACACACACACACACACACACACACACACACACACACACACACACACACACACACACACACACACACACACCACACACACACACCACACACACACACACACACACACACACACACACACACACACACACACACAGAGTCGAGCTTTAATGAAACACAGAGACCCAGACGTAATAGTACTGTACTGCATTTTTTTTTTGAATACAAGTTGATTACATTTGAATAATACTGGCAACAGCTCTATTATGCAATGTTATTCAGAAGCACCACCTCTGAAATGATAAAGAGGTATTTTGTCATTACAATGCATTTGGTTTAGCTCCAGGAGGTGTAACAAACTGGCACTAGAGTGTAAAAGTGTGTAGTGACAAAATTGCTTTGCACATTATTATTCCTATACAAAGTATTGAGTTCAGCTGCTGTAGATA